GAGTCGACAAAATTGCAATAACTTGCTTATCAAGTTACGACAAGCCAATTTGTGAGTTCGGCTTGCGAGTTGGCGGACAGTTTCCCACCCTGCGACCGGACCTAGCGGCGACATTGAGCTGTGGCAGGTCAATGTTTGGCACCCTGACAATCAAGCCGTTCAGCCAAGGCCACGTTTTCATCGTGTGAACCGATTCTCTGCATGGACCAATCGGTAGTGTCGCTGAACGTGGGATAACAGCAGTGCCAACTCGCAAGCTCACGCAAGTCGAACTCGAGGCCCACAAGCCAAGTTGAGTTGTCGTTTTTGCAAGTTGAGTTGAGTTGGAATTGACTTCAACTCAACTTGGCGGCAACACTAGCCCAAGTTTCTTCCTTGGTACATACGGTGAAGTCCTCCGAGCATCGTCTTGCATATTCACGCAAACATGAACAGTTTGAGGTTCGATTGCACCCCTGGAGCGTATATGACTGCTCTACTCTGCATCGCCCCCGGAGGCAGAAGAACGCCAAGGCGAAACCTACGTTGCATTTCACATGCTCGGCTTTTTGGTAACCTGGTTCGCCGGTTCCGGCTTTGCTTATACTACTTACTAGCGGTTCCAAACATGCACCCATACCAACGAGCGCAAGAGATGCAATCCACCTAGATCTTTGCAATGGACCCATCTGATCCCCTGAGCTTCGTGCATAAATCCATCTTGCTCTCTACCGGTCGGCAATATCACTACGTCGATCAGCTGCCCTTGACGTACGACCATGCATCGATTGTGACGCTCGTTTGCGTGCATGGGTTTCCCGATCTTTGGGTACTTGGGTGCTTATGATGGTCTGTTTCCTACTAATGAACTGACGTCTCAGTATGGCTGGCGCTATCAAATCCGCCCTTGGGTGGAACGCGGTTACCGCGTAGTCGTTCCCGACATGCTCGGCTACGGCACTACAGACAAGCCATACGATATCGGAGCTTACACGACGAAGCGCTTGTGCGAGGACCTTGTCGCTTTGTTAGATCATATTGGCGTACGGAAAGCGGCGAGTCATATTTTCTCCTTTGCTCTGCATCATCGAGGTCATTGATCATGTTGTATAGGTTATGATCGGGCACGATTGGGGTGCACCCACGTTCTCGATACCACGCTATCCAACGCTAACCATGTTGTCGTTGCAGGTTCTTTCACGGTTTCGAGGTTCGCTCTCTGGCACCCAGATAGGATCATCGCACTCATCCAGTGAGTGTTGTGAGCTAAGATTTCACTATGGCAATAATTTTGGGGTTGCCAGGTTATCCGTCCCGTACACTCCTCCAGCTCCCGAGTACATATCCGTGGAAGAGATGGCTCGACGTTACTCGAACTTTGCATACCAAGTCTACTTTGCGGACCCATCGTCCACGCAAGAAATAGAGGACAATGTGAGCACGAACGGTGTGATCCTCGCGTGCCATCTCACTGGTGTTGTTATAGCTGTTCGCGTTTTGGAGCCGCGTGTATCGCAAGCCAGGCAGCGGTCATGGGATACTGTCACCCGGGAGTCGTAAATTAGCTATGACCCTCGATGACGTACTCGAACCAGATGGCCTCCTGCTGACCCCTCAGGTTCGTCCACCTGATATCAAGGAACGATGACAGCCAGAGAAGCTGACGCTCGGCACCGCAGGAAACGCAATATTACCGCTCCTTCTTTGAGGGGGCGATGAGGGGGCCACTGAACTACTATCGTACTGCAAGACTCCGCTTCGAGGAAGAGAAAGGTATGGACAACGTCTGGAGAGAGGTCGCGCGCTCATCATTCTGGTCTGTGTCAGCGGCCAACTTGCCAACCACCCTGCCCGCTTCGCTACCAGCTCTGTTGATATGGGGCACCGAGGATCCCACGTGCTTACGGCCCGTCGTCGCCCGTGCACACAAATTCGTGCCATCTTTGCGGGAGGTGTCGGTGGAGGGATGTGGACACTGGATCATGATAGAAGCGAAAGATGCGGTGACGCAAACCGTGCTCGACTTTCTCGACAGTGTCCATCTTTTAGGAGAAAGGCCGGTCGCGGCCAAGTTGTGATAGAGATAGGTCGCTAGGACCAGAACATGTTCTATTTGCTCAGGCGCTTCGCGCGCTGGCCAAGATGCGCAAGCTGGGGTATATACAGTCCGAAGTATCTGCAAGTTCGATGCGAATAAGTTAGGACTATAAGAGTAAGCACGCGTCAACGCGTCGTAGTAACTTCGTCAAGAAGGGAGGTAAAACGTCAGAGCAGCGTGAAGAAAGCGTGGATGACAATGTCGTGAGAACATAGCGAGAGTGGAGTAAGCGTAATGGACGAGAGACTAGCAGCATATGACATGGAGACGAGTCGGGGAGAGCAGATTGACGATACATTCGGTTTCAGGATCATGATGAGATGGGGAGGAGATGAGAGAGCATAGACAGCGTAGCAAAAAAAAACATAGGACAGCGTACGAATTTTGAAAGAGCAGACTTTGATGAGCCGTCCCCCGAAGGGTAAGTTTCTGAGTGTGATGTTTTCCCTTCTTTTTTCTTTACCGGAAGCTGTAGCCAAAGCCGACGTGCTCGCTGGCAGATGGGGGCCGGACGACCACATCGGGGACGCCCGCGTGGTTCATCAGCAATCCGCGCTTCTTCGCCGTCTCCGACCGGGCAAGCTTCAGAGGCTTCAGACCAGCGTTCGTGTTGCCAACCTCCGCAAGCGCTGCGTTCTCCGCAACGGGGTCCATACCCTCTTGCAGTTTCTTCTTGCGACCAAGGGTGAGAGGACGGACGCCGTGCGCGCTCTCCGTCGACACGTTGGCGTTGCGCTCCTGGAGCAGCGAGAGCGGACGAAGGCCGGTAGGCGACGATGACTGCCCGGACGGCGGCGGGGACACCTTGCCCTTGTTCGCCTTCGGCTTGAGCGGGCGAACGGCGCGGGCACCCCACTGCGCAAAGCGACCGGAGGTCGACCTTTGCACATTAGCGCCTTCCGCCGGAGGGGCGTTCTCGTCGCCCGATTTCACGTAAACGATGCTCGAACGCTTCGACTGCGGACGCTCCGTACCGACAGCGGGCTGGTCGTCGGATCGGACGTAGACGATGCTCGACCGGCGGGTGGAAGCAGTGGGCAGCGGCGGGACCGCTTCCTGCGCCACCTTTCTCGCGCGCGCCTTATGGTCGTGCGGCGTGCTCTCGGCCTGCGGGCCGGTGGCGGCGTCCCAGTCGAACAGGGTCACTTCCGAACTCGCGGACGGAGGAACGGGGGCGATCGCCTTCTCGAGGAGCGTCAACAGGGATGAGCGAGCGGTGTCGACACCGGCGGGGACGTCGAGGGAGACCGGCCGGCGTTCGTCTTCTTCCTTGACAACGTCGAGGAGGTGTGGCATGGCGAGCGCGTCGTGGCGTTTCCCTTCTTCCGTGGCAACATTGACGTCCTGCTCGATCTCCCAATTGGAGATATGGAAAGCGTCTTTTCCCAGGCTGAGGCTAACGCGCCATGTCAGTGAGTCGATCCGGTATAAGAAAGCATGCAACTTGCCTAGGCATGCTGAAATGGTGCCGCTTGTGTCCCGACACCTTCTTGGTCCGCAGCCCCCGACCGTTCTTCAGCGGCGTGGAGTGCACCTCCGGAGACGAGAATTCGCCGATGCTGGACCAGTCGCCGTTGCCCGGAGACGTCGGCGCGTCCGAGACCCTGCCGTGGCGCGCAAGCGTGCCGGCCCGCGGCCGGTTCCAGTCCGGCGTGATCTTCATGCCCTCGCCCACCTTGAGCCCAGGGACGAGGATGGGGAGCACCTTGGCAGACAGAGCGTCGATCTGGTTCACGTCATCGACAGCGCCGAAGGAGAAGCCAGAGTCGTTCGCGCCGGGGACGGTCGGGAGCGAGACCGAGGACTGCGAGCGCTTGTGCGTCTTGCGCATCTTGGCGAGGCGGGCGTTCTTGACCGACGGCGGTGTGGGGGGCAGTGGCAAGTTCGGCGGCGCGCTGAGCGGCATCTGGGCGCTGTTCACAGACGAGGTAGAGCGGGAGCGCAGGTGGCCGGTGGTGTTGATGAGGCGCACGCCGCTGGCCGCGGAGGTAACCGCGGCGGCCTGCACGACGGTAACCTGCGCCGAGCCCGTGACGGCAGCCATGGATGCACGTTGCTCGGGCGAGGGAGGGAGCACGAACGTCTTTGCGAGCGCGGAGTAGTGCTTCTGCGCGACCATGACACGCGCGGCGTGCTGGATGCTTGCGTCTGCGCCCGAGTAGTACGATGACGCCTTCGATTCCTTCCGGATCCGGCCCATCTCGGCGCTCGTCGCAGATGCGGGCGTCGGCGGGACAGTGGGCGCGGGAGTATCCTCGTACTGGATCGGCAACGGGGGCGTAACGGGCTCTTCCTCGTCCTGGATTGGCATGACGGATAACTTCGGCTTGGGCTGCAGCATGCCCATTGCGCGGCCAACCTTGCCCTGCCCGTCTTTCGCGTCGCCGTTCACGAGCCAAACGTCGGTGCTGCGCTTGCCTTCGACGACGGTCACACTCCCGCTGCGCTTGTACTCGCGCGAGAGGCGCTCGAGCCCTCCGGGAGACGGGGCACGGTTGACGATCGACGGTGGCTCGCTGTAGCTTTCAAAAAGACCAGAGGGGATCGGGATGGGCGAGCGGAACAGGATGTTGAAGGCCAAAATGGGCGACGACAACGTGGACGACAGGACCAGGAGTATGCTGGCGACGGACGGAGTAACGCCATGGGGCGAGACCGCGAAGAAGTAAGGAAGCGCCAGAGCCTATGGGAAGAGACGCGTCAGGAAACAACTGTGAACGATAGCGCTCTATACTCACGAGGGGAACCCAGATGGTGACAAGCCAACCGACGGTACGGTAGACGGAGACGTCGAGGTCTCCGGACGGGACGGTGGCGATAGAACCCACTCCCTTCTCCGCACGAGCAGCCTCGGGAGCATAGCCATACCCGCCCAACACTTGAGCACTGGACAACGCAGGGGTGATGGGGCGCGAGACAGCCGTAGACGTCGGGGGCAGTTCCGTCGCATACGGTGTGCTAGGCACCGGAGTGTTGGGGCGGACCGCAGCGTACTCGTTGGCGCCCGCGTGGGTGGCGTGCGTCGTCGGGAAGGACCAGGCGGAGAGCGTGGCCTCCGAGTTACCCGAGTTGGAGGTAAGCCACGAGGTCTGCGAGCCCATGCGGAGTCGTTGGTGGTGGTGATGCTCCGGAGGGATCGGCGTCTCTTCGCGCCTGAACGGGTCGACGTCGTCGTTGATGGCCATGCCGGTAGGCGAAATGGGTGTGGGGCCGTACGGCGACGGAAGCGGGGGCACGGGCGGAACGGACGCCTCGCGCGCTCCGGAGGGCGCCGTGCCCGGGGTCGCAGGGCCGAACCAGAACGACGACTTGGGCGCGACCGAGGGCTGGGACGCGGCCATGGCACGCTTGATGCGCATGGAAGTCGGGGTCGGCGGGCGGACCGAGTGATGGGTGGAGAAGGAGAAGGCGGAGATGGAGTCGCGGCGGGAGCTCGCGTTGGAGGTGATCCACGAGCTGCCGTCACGGAGGCCGTCGACGTCTTCCGTGGCGAACGACGGACGCGGCTTCTCCTCGACCTGACGCATGGGCGGCCACTGGTCCGTGGGGCCATCGGAGCGGGTCAGGTTGCGCTTGATCATGACGAGCGTGGCGATGAGGGAGACGAAGCAGGCGCTAGACAGGACGGCGACGGCGGTCGAGTACGCGGCGAGACCGACGAACAGGCTCGACTTGTCGATGGCCGCGAGCGTGGTGGCGACGCCAGCGCCGGTGGCGACCATGATGATTAAGGGTGCCCAGAGGATCCAGTGCTTCCAGCCGAAGGAGACCGGGCGCCCGAGGCGGACGTGTAGCAGGGTCAGAGCGGAGACCACGAGGAGACACGTAGGGCGAAGGGTGATCGCGAGCCAGAGGCGGGCGGCGGAACCGGCGTCGGTAGCGGCGGCAAAGTCTTGAGGGCCGCCGGTCGTCTCGTCGATGGCTTGCCAGACGAAGAGGACGAGCGCGGCGAGGTCGCACGTGGCGAGCCAGATGTGTGATTTATCTGCCGGGGTGAGAGAGCGGAAGTTAGGGAGTCCAAACTCGGACTGCGTGCTGAGGTGAGTGGCTTGTGGTGACGAGGAGGAGGAAAAGGAACGCATACAGGAGGGACATGTCTGCTGAATGGACCAGGAGGCACTGCGAAAGGACATGAGCGCCGACGTGTACAGACGAACCACGATACGTACAGATGGAAATTACTATACGCAGAATGACAAAAGCTGAGCATATGAAGGAGAGCATCGCAAGTGCGAGCGTCGGCACGAGCGGAATCATGTTGAGGTCTTGGGTCGTGTGAGTCGGAGAGAGTCGTGGTAGGGACCGTAGTTGCGTAGGCGGAGAGCGTAGAGCACCGTAGGAGGCCTCGGGTCGTCGGGGAGGCGTCGGACGTGGACCAGTCGAAGCAGACGAGAGAGAACGAAGCGGGGCGGCGGCGCGTTGCCATTTTCAGTCGTTGGTTGGATTTGCTGTTGTGCACTTGTGTGACTTTGTGGGTCCGCAGGAGGACGCGTTCGGGTCAGGTGATGCCGGCCGTCCAGCTCGTGGCATCCTTTGCTGGTGCGAGCCATCTTATCATGGGTAATGCTGGCGCAATGTTGGCGAGCGTAGCATCGTAGCTCGTTGGGACCCGGAGTGAAGATCGTGAGGCGACTTCGAGTTCCTGCATGACGATCGTCCCCGATGTCGCCTTGTCGCCTCGCCAGGCCAGCCACGCGGTCGAGGAGTCGTCTCTGACACGCACAGACTCTGATACGGTCGCCGTTGTAGACAGAGCCGCTCGTCGACGATGAACGTCGTCCTTTCGTCTCTGTCACTGTGTCAGTGTTATCGCTGCGCTCATGACATGACACAGCCACCGCGTACTGAAAGAATCACATGCACATGCACCTGCTATGACGATGAGCGCATACGCCCGCCAGAAGCTCGGCGTGCGGCCGTGTCCTGTCCCGTACGGCTGCCTCCAGCGCTGCAGCCCGCTCTCGTCCGCCGTCGCCGGTCCCCGCATAATCCTGACATAGACCAAGCTCGCACGCATATACCAACCTCTGCATATCACAATCTTACACACGCATCACACCTGCACTCTGTTCCACGACACATTCGCATGACATAGACCGACCGCCAGATCGACTCGTATGAACTACCTGCGCGGCGCCGTGAGCGCCATCAGCGCGCCGTATCAGTACTACAAGGAGCTGCCCCCGCTCAACCCCGCAACCCTCACCGGCGCGATCGACGTCATCGTCGTCCGCAACCCGACCGACGACGGCGGCCATGAGCTCCGATGTTCGCCGTTCCACGTCCGCTTTGGAAAATGGCAGGTTCTCCGTCCCGGGGACAAGAAGGTGAGCCCACGACGGTCTTCTCAACTCTCTCGCGTAATAATCAAAATCGTGCTGGCGCTGTGCGGGCTTAGGTGAATGTCTCCGTGAACGGTCGACCCGTGCCGTACAACATGAAGATCGGAGAGGCAGGCGAGGCCTTCTTCGTCTTCGAGACCGACGCCGAGGTGCCCCAGGACCTCATCACGAGCCCCATTCTCGAGGCTACCCAGCCCGGCCAATCCAACGCCCAAGTATCCCGCCAGGAAGTCCAAGCCGGCCGCTTCGGCGCTCCCGTCTCGCCCTCCGAAGACGATTCTACCGTGCCCGACTTCGACCTCGACGCCTCCGCTCGACCGTCCGCCTCTGCTACCCCGGAAGCGGAGCACGAGAAGCAGAGTGCGACCGAGAACGTGCTCAAGGCTCTCAACCCAACGTCGCTCATGGCCGACACCGTTACCCTCGGCAAAGCCGTCGCCCACGCCGCGGTGGAGACGAACAAGGAAGAGAAGGATCGTCTGAAGGACAGGATGGAAGCCGCACGAAACGTTCACCAGCACCTTCGGGAAGACGGTCTCGAGGCCTTGTATGGGAAGCATTCCGCCGACAAGGGAGACGAGGCGTTACCGGATGCGCATCCGGAAGCAGTGCAACCATCGGAGATCGTGGACGCCGGAGGTTTGCAGATTTCGCCTCGTACTCTTGGATCGCCAACTGAACACCATCCCTTCTGTCATCCAGATGTTGTGATCGACCGGGCCGGGTATCATGCACCCCGCAGAGAGTCTACCGAATCTACCATCACCGAACATGACTACGCCTCCTCCAATCCAAGCCCCGAGGCAGGCCCTAGCTCGACCGCACCCCAAACGCCGGAAACCGAACCCGATTCCGTCCCCTTGCCCTTCATCCGCGCCACTTCCGAACCCCCTCTCGACACCGACGAGTCCCAACCCCACTCTCAGCCTCCCCACCGCCCCCATCATGCAACCGCCGCCTCCATGTCCAACTTCATCTCTTCGCCTACACGCCGCAGCCCGACCCGCGTCAAGACGTCTTCCAACATGACCTTGCGCCCGCCAGGCGCCGGCGAGGACGACGAATACCTGTGGGAGTGGGGGGCGTTCCCGCAGCGCTCGCCTGCAAAAGAGGTCTTCCCGTCCATCGGCAGCGGCCGTGGTATCGAGGCCGTCATGCGCAGCGACGTGAACGGCAATGTCAACAGCGACTCGGACAACGAGCGAAGCAGGCCGAAACGGAGCCGGAGCGTACCCCGCGAGCCGGAATTCGAGGGTGTTGAGCAGCGGGGTCGTGTCACGACGCCGCCGGAGGTGGCATTCGGGGCGGGCGGGCGGCTGCTGCCCGAGCGGAACGACACGACGCGCTTTCGACTCGCGATCGAGGGGCGGCGAGTGTGGTTCGAGCTCAGCGTGATCCCCGCGATCGCCAGCTATGCCGGGACCAAGGGGAAGAGGAACGCGGGAAAGAGCGCTGACCAGGCGGAGACCGGGCATGTGCTCGGCGAGTGGGGCGAGGTTGACGCGGCGGTGGAGTTCGAAAAGGGTAAGGTGAACTGGAGACGATTCTTGGACGACGATGGTGTGTTGCAAGACGACGGACTCGTAATCCGGTGGGCGGAGGACAAGTGCGTCGCTCCCTGAGGAACATGATCCTCGTACATGACAGCTAACCCGTTCCCAGGTATATCACCCGCCAGGACGGCTCTCCGCTCATGGAGGCTCTCGCACTCTGGCGCGACGCGGCGCGCAAAGAAGAGTCCGCTACGCGCTCGCGCTCGCTCGCCCCGCTTCCTGAAGAAGATCGCGCGACCGCGGAGTTCGACGAACCGCTCTCCTCCGGCGAGGATCCGTTGTCTTCGGGCGACGAGCGGGAGCGATCGAACACGCCGCAGGCGGCGTCACCCAAGGCGTCGCGGAGGACGTCAGCGTGGATGACGCGGTGGTGGAGCCGGAGCCAGACGACGGATCCTGCCGCGACAAGTGGCGAGAGACGACCGGAACTCAAGCATGCGGGGACTACTCCCCTAGAGACGGTAAGCTGGCTAATAACTCCTTGAACCTTGCGCGCCTCACAGGGCATCGCATATGTAGGAAGTCAGAGCAACGCAATCTGAGCAAGTTCCGGTTCCTGCAGCCTCGCCTGCTCCGTCGGTCGCTTCTGCTCCGCCGATGCACGACGGCCGATCACTGACGGCGCCAGCTCGAGTGCCTTCACCTTCACCTCCTTCCGCGGAAGAAACGAAATTCGTGAAGACGCTCCGGTTGTCCTCCGACCAGCTGGTATGTGCTGACCATTATTATCCAGGACGTGTCTTAACCGTAAGACCCGATCATTTAGAAAGCGCTCAACCTAAGAGCTGGGCCTAACAGCATCACGTTTTCCCTATCCGCCTCTGGTGCTGTCGCTTGCACTGCGCGGATCTTCCTCTGGGAGTCGACGGACTTGATTGTGATATCTGACATTGACGGGACGATCACCAAGTAAGTTTTTAGCTCTGCTCGGGAGCGAATTACAACAGTTCACCGTGGCGAAGGTCAGACGCGCTCGGGCACGTATTCACCATGATCGGCCGTGACTGGACCCATACGGGCGTCGCCAAGCTGTACACGGACATCACTCGGAATGGCTACAAGATCATGTATCTCACCTCTCGCGCCATAGGACAGGCCGATTCGACCCGAGATTATCTCAAGGGCGTCAAGCAGAACGACTATCAGCTTCCAGAAGGCCCCGTTATTATGAGCCCGGACCGGTTAATCGCGTCGTTGCATCGGTACTGAACTTATTGCTTGGGTCGCGCGAGCAGAGACGGCTGATAACGACTGTCTATACTCTCAGGGAGGTGATCATGCGCAAGCCGGAGGTGTTCAAGATGGCCTGTCTACGCGACATACAGCGCCTGTTCGGTGAAACGAATCGGAACCCGTTCTACGCTGGCTTCGGCAACCGAATTACGGACGCCTTGTCGTACCGCTCGGTCAACGTTCCGAGCTCTCGCATCTTCACCATCGACTCGAGCGGCGAAGTCAAGATGGAGCTCCTCGAGCTCGCTGGTTACAAGTCATCGTAGGTTACGGAATTGGTTCTCGTAAACAGTCACCTAACTGACGTGAACCACAGCTACATCCACATGACGGACCTCGTGGATCAGATGTTCCCGCCGGTGCAGCGCAAATGGCAAGCCGAGTTCACGGACTTCAACTACTGGAAACCCCCGATCCCGGACATCCCTCTGCCCGACCTGTCGCCGCCGTCGCCAGCGTTGAGCGCACGCTCGGACACCTCCAACCAGAGTACGTTGGCCAGACTACGTAACCTCAGTCTCATGGGTGGGCGGCCGAAATCGTTCCAGCTTCCACCGCCGGCGACCGAAGCGGGCGACGCGGAGGAGCGCGCGCTGTCGCAGCGTCATCGCCACAAGGACGCCCAGCTGCGGCAAATGTCCTCCTTCGAGCGCCTGAGCCAGACGCTCGGCCTCTCCTCCGCCTCGACAGTCGGCGACAGCAGGCGGAGCGAGAGCCCCGTGTCCTCGTCCACGTTCCTCGAATCCGGCTCCGAGGATGAGGACGGCGAGTACGACTCGGGCGAGGACTGGGCACGCAAGCGGCGCAAGAGGGAGCGGCGGACGAGTATGGAGAGCATGCCTGGATCGCTCCCGGGCTCCGAGGCCGACTACCAGTTCGGGCTGCACGAGGAGGAGGAAGGCAACCTCGAAGAGGGTGAGGCGGATGTTGGGTACGGGTATGAGGGAGGATCTGACGAGGAGGATCCTGCGGAGGCGGATTTCGATGAGGATCTGCTTGCTGCTGGCGAGATGCAGAATGTACCCTTCCTATAGGTTGAGGATATTATGCTATTGCCCCTTGGACGCCATTCGCTCCGCACCTAGCCTGTGTGAATAAACCCTACCACGACCGCATGAGCTTTCGTTTCGCTCTGCATTGCCTGAGAATATCAGTATAAAGTATCCCACACTCCGCTCCAAATATGGGGAAGACAATTCACGGGTAACAGGTACAAGGATAGTCATTCATGGCATAACGATAGCGACGACAGCTGAAGGAAGCAACAATACACGACAAGGACGCCATATTTTCATCGTCCCTCATACGATGGGCCGTTTCAAGCTTAATCGGCTGTAAACGTACAACGTCGCAGCTGTTGTGGCAACATGATAGCGCTTGATTCTCAGGATGACATCCTTACTGCTAATGAGCAGCAGGCCGCGACCGCCTATGGAAGGCTAGGCGAGATTCCAGTCATTCTTAATAAGGCTGGAGCCTCTCTCCTGTAAACTGATTGAAGGTTGATCCACGTTATCGATATGGAAACTTACCGCTATGATATAGATAGGAACCTGAGTATGCGCGCTGGGGACGAATGGCTGACCGCTGGAGTCAGGATGCCACACGCTGGCAGTGGATCAGAAGGGTGTAACTCACCAAAACACTACCATCGATGATCCTGAGGCCTTTCGTCCCTTTCACCTTCAAGTCGGGGTCCACGCACCCAGACGATGAGTTGCTGGCGGTCATTTGACACGACCCGACAGCATGAAAAATCTGTCACGTATAAGGATCCCTTGCAAGGGAAATGCAAATGCGCGCACGCACTGTGCCAGCGTTTTCCCTGGAATATTGCAATAACTCCGCATCTGTCGTCGCATTTGCAAACGCGCCAAATTCCGCGATGATATATCCATTCCATGCAGGCGAGTTCTCTACGAAGCGACGAGCAGCTTTCAGGGCCTTGACCATGATCTGGGCGTCCAGATCGGTGCCGAGAATGTTGGGGTTGATCAGCGGAGGATCGAACGGATCACTGGATCGAAGAGACACAGTGCCACCTATTATGTTGGTAAGTCAATGTCGGAAAACTTGCGTGTGACCACCTACGTGCAGTAGGCGAGATCACACCAACATCAATCGTAAAGAAGTTCAGCCCGCTAGGTGCAGCACCGCCGACAAAGCCACTCTATAAACCGTGTCAGCAGCAGAGCAAACGAGCGGGGTAGATTTCCGAGCGTACGGCGAATAGGAACTCGTAATGCGCAGAGTGGGGGCCTGATGACGGGTCGGAGGCGCCCTGAAAGATGGAGTCGTTGAGCGGTATGCGCTCCCATGCGTACATATCGGGCAGCGTGAAGCTGAAGGGCCCGGTACGCGTGGCTTCCCATTGCGCGAGTGCGGCAGCGAAGTTAGTCGAGTTTCCGAGGAAGGTCTCGAACGTGCGGTTCGAGTTTACCGTCCAGGACGCTGGAACGAGCGGATGGTCGGACAATCCCTTTCCGACGTCTGGAAGGTTAACAACGGACGTGATGTTGAGCGGGGCGAGGACCTGTGGGTCCCCGATACCCGACAGGAGAAGCAGCTAGAGCAACGAGCAGATTAAACGTACGGAAGTCGGAAATTGAGTTCTATGATGTACCTGCGCGGTATTGAATGTTCCTGCAGCCAGTATGATTTCTTTCGTCGCGACCACAGTATACCTTGGACCTAACAAAATGGTCACACGATGCCGCGAGTTAGGATCTTTCATTCTCACCTGTGGCATTGGTAGCGAACTCGACCGTGTCGAATACCGGTATTCCATCCTGAGCAGAGCTGGCTGAAACCTTCGTTGCCTGAGCATGTAGCATCACATGCAAATTCGATCTGGTCGTGAAGCCATCCAGATACGCTGTGGCTGCGCTGCTCCTGGTGCCATTCCCAATTGTCGCTTGCGCCCATCCTATACCATGTATGTGGTCAAGAAAAGCTCGGGTAGGAGATACAGAACTGGAAAGCTCACCGACTCCCAGAACATTGCCGTCGTTAGCATCCAGCCTGTACGGAAATTGCAGCGGCTGCTCGATGGTGGTTTTGATCACACGCGGGGCAGACGGCCAGAAGTAGTTCGTCACGCTGACGTCCACGAGACCGTTTTGGTGATGCACCAGTGGATCATATCGGGGGTCAAACACTGAGGGTGTTGGCGGTATGAAAAGCTCGTTCTACCACAGACGGCGCTTTAGTACCAGATAGCATGATTCGTTGAGATGGTTCCACCTTTCGAATCCAGGGTTGTATGCTGTCCCAAGACCATCCTGAATCCCCGGTGATTGCAGAATAATTGTCCCAATCGTTATCAGAACCTCTGGTATAAACCATCAAGTCTAATTGAAATTTAGCGCAGGTCGGAGAGCGCAAGCTTCAAAGTAATTTACTGATCGAGCTGCTACCTCCGAGAAGTTTGCCTCGGAAATATGGGATCTCTCTGTCATCTAAACCTGGTTGTGGGGTAGTCGTATAGTTCCAGTCATATTGGGAGCCCCATAAAGCAGGTGCTAGTAATGGAATTTCCGAGTCCAGCACGCCGTGGTTCCTGATACGGACAGAACAACTTTCAGTGAGCATCATTCCAATCAATGTTCCGTAAACTCACGTCACTCCAGCTTCAAGGACGAGGACAGTCACGTTTGCATCTTCCGTCAGCCTGGTAGATGGCTTGAGCGTGCTTTTAGCGTAGCGAAGTAAAAAACTATATACCTGTTGGCTACCACAAGCCCCGAAGTCCCGCCTTGACGAATGTTGAGTCCACGTAATGATACAGTACGTCGACCAACTTACCACCAATGACAACAAAATCGTAGATCGAGCTAGGTAGTTGCGAGACATCGTCGTAGACAACAGCGAGGGCGGCCGGTATGACGGCGAGAAGAGTCGCACCGAGGAGCTGCATGTTCGAATCTCGAGTGTCTTGCAGCCGCTTCTTCGTATCTGGGACCGATTCTTATAGAAATCCCATCTTGGCTGCCTGACTAAAACGGGATTAATGCAGGTTTCCAAAGATCACCTTCTGGGCTCATTCTTGACGGTGTGAGCGTCGGGCTCGAAAACCACAGGAGAAATGGGACGAAATCACCGAGGAGATGCGCCCCAGGATTAGGCAGGAACAGCGTATTTCGGATAGCCAGCCGGCCCAGGAACACACATAACCGGCTGCAGCGGACCTAGTGTGTGAAATGAAGATCAACAAGATCAGGTCAGTTCCCACCATTCACGGATACGAAAGGCAGGATACGAGCTGGGCACGAGTGAAGAATGAACCAAGATTGGCTGGACGATCCCCCATTTGGCATTCGTCACGGCATGCGCTAGGTGGGGCGCACGTTCAGATGGATGAAGGGCGGAGAGTCCGTCAACACGCGCATTAGAGCTGATTTGCAGCGGATAAATATTAGAGACGAATTCATTTCGCACTCTCATTGGTGGAGAAGCAAGTTGATCGAGGGTTTCCGTGGAGAAATATTGGCTGCAAATCAGCTCTATTGCATCGCTGACCCGTGAGGGAGACCGGGAGTTTTTACATATCGACCGTTGTAGGTCAGTGGTTGGTCAGCGGCGTTGGCCTAAAAGCCGGTGATCTATCGATCCGTTCCGGGTCGGCAGAGCAGAGGCAGAAAGAATATAAATGAACCGCGAGGCCTACGGGCCTTCTGGCAATACAAGGCGCGCACGAAGGGTTTCTGGAGCTGCGATAATCTAAATGCGTTTTTTCGCTATCACAAGCTGGCCTCAACAAACCCATGAGCCAGTGCCGTTGGCAGCTTGCTGAGAACGCGATATTCGGCTAGAGCAGCCTGCGCTAGAAAATTCCTCGCATCGATCGTGTGGCCGGCAGAGAACCATCACGATGGCGTTCGCAGAACAAGACGCCACGATCGGTGCAGCGAAGGAGACAAACATCAGGCGTGCACAAACCCTAGACTCGCGGCGTCGCTCAAGTTATACCCAAACCTGTGGTCATAGTATGTAAGTATGTGCTCACCGAAGTTCGCGACCTAGGTACCATACTTATGTCACTCGGCTAGCAAGGCAACTTCCGTGCGAGTTCCGAGTCCTCTCCATCCTGTACCTGCCCCCTGGCGCTGCGAGGCATCGGAAGGCATGCCGCTCAAGACGTGACCTACCCAGTTGGGATCAGTGAGCGGTGTCAAATCATCGCGCCGCGAAAGTTGCTGAAAGGGCTCTGGATCAGCCGAAATGCATAATGGAGGACGGAAGATGCACGCGAACCCGCTTGACTCTGTCGTACGGCGCCTCCCATCCACTCGTCTCGCGCACAATTCTTGACGGCGAAGAACTGAAGGAGTGATATATCCGGGTATCGTGCATGCGGAACAGAACGTTGTCCACACGGAGGGTAAACCGCGCTAGGACGAAGAAGCAGCTGGGCATCACACGCTATCGGGAATGCAATGGAGCGACAGTAGCCAGTGAAGATTAGACTAGAGCCTCTAGTATGAGAAGAGAAACTAACGATGCGGACGAGCAGATGGGAGGCACCGTTGTCGTGAAGTTCATCTTCGAAAACCGGGATCTCCGCGTAAAAGAGAATAGGGTCGCGTCTGCTCAGTTCGGCAATGGGTATGGCTTGCAACGGATCGCTTGGATCTGCGGGATGCCATGGAATAAAACCGTCTGGCGCAATCACGGGCTTTTCGTCGACTTCATCCGGCGAAATAGCCTCAAGGTGACCGGAGTAAACGGTAGTATAAGTCCAGTCGTACTGTTTGGTGGCGGACGTTTGTGGTAACGGAATAGCAGACGACGATCCAGTACTGCGCCGATGGGGCTGAGACCTCGGGTGCACATAGCCCAGAATCGAGGACGCTCACCGACTCTTGAGCCACGCATCTGCGTAGCCGACCTTGACGACGCCGTCTCCCTCTTGTGCATCTCCAGACCGCACCCCTGCAAGGGCATCGGCGGTTCTGAACGCGTATTTCCATCCTGAAGCACGGTGCTCTAGTGTAAGCACGTTGTGTGCAAAGGTCATCTCCGGCAACGGTATGCCCAGCTGAGCTTGCAGGGCGTCGGCATCGACAGCGCTAGCGATCGGATTGGTGCACGCTGTGATGGACCATCCGTTTATTTGTATCGTGCGGGAGTTCGGAGACTCGAGCAATTTGTGCTCAGGTAGATCTGTGGAAGATGCCATCACTGGTCTGCAAGCGTTGAGTAGAGAACGGCGTGTTGAGACGCGTCTTGCATTTCGCATTGACCGCGTTGCGTGTAGCCATGGACTTGAACTCGCGCTCGTCGACGCCGGAGGCACCTCCACAGGATCTGTGGTCTTCGATATTAGACTCGGTCTCCTCATCTCGGTCTATACCCGCGAAGAACGTGCTTATCCTTGGCGAGCCTTCTGCCGGGAAGTCATCACTGACCTCCGCTCTACTTCAAAAACCGCCCGAGGAGGACACTGCAGAGGGTCAAGATTTCGCGCTTGGTTATGACTGGGCAGATGTCCGCGATGACGCCGACGAAGGTGAGCCGCTCCAGACCTCTCTAACGTATGCGACTGTTCAACCTCGAGCAGATACCTTAGCAAGGCTGTCGGTGTACACCGTACCATCATCAGCACCATCGTATACCGCCTTGTTACCCCACTTTCTACCTCCGCGTTCTGCTTTGCCTCATACGGCGGTCATTATTGTCCTAGACTGGACGCGACCATGGACATTCGTGGAGCAATTACTCAAATGGCTTGTGTGGGTTGAGTTCTGGACTCAAGGTGATGGTTCACGGGACCTGGAGATTGTTCGCGAAGAGAACCGCGAGAGACGTATGTACACTACAAGATTTTGGTGAGACCGAGAGACTGATTTGCGCAGTGCAATCCTATCTGCAGCACTACGCGGAGCCCTCCTCGGAACCTCTATCCGCAGCAGCCACGCATTCGGACACGCTACTCCCGCTGGGTCAAGGTACACTGACTCACAATGCCTCGGGTGTGCCGGTCATAGTCGTGTGCACGAAAGCTGATTTGATCGACGAGAACAATGATTTGGTTGGTGTAGGTGCCTCGGGCATGGGAGGCATGGTGAAGGGTAAAGGTGGTGAATGGGAAGAACGTACAGACAGCGTGATGCAGATACTCAGGACGATATGTCTGAAGTGTGCGTGGCTTCACACCGCTTGTGGTTGTCGCCAGCGCTCACGACTCCACCAGACGGCGCGGCTCTGTTTTACACAACACCACTGCCTGCCACTCTACAGGTGGTTAGGCAGTATGCATTGCATCTCCTCTTCGTCCCTCCAGCGCCGTCATCAGGGATGTCGTCCGCTGATGGACTGGCCCCAGCTCGTAATCCTTTCTCTTTCCAACACAAGCCGAATACGCTGGACCGCGATCGCATTGTAGTGCCTGCTGGCTGGGATAGCTGGGGGAAGATAACAGTGCTTCGCGAAGGCTTTGATCCAAAGGCATGGGGCGAAGCTTGGGAGCGCGATTTGGACGCCATGAACGGGGAACCTTCGGAAGAGCCAGGAGCCCGCAAGTTGTTCAATGCACTCGTTCCGGATCAAGCACCGAAGGTGAGTTGCTGCACCTTCGCACACACATGCTATGCGGCTGAGCTATACTTTGGCTAAAGCCCCCGCCTTTACCGCCTTTCAACAATCCCACGCCAGAGCAAGCATTCCTTGCCAAACACTACGACGAGAACGCGAAGAAGCCTGATCGCGATCCGAGAGGTGCCTTCCGTAACCCTGCGGAACCCGCTATGGGTATTGTCGGTCCCCTCGGTAGCAGTAGCTTTGCTTTACCGAACGTTGAGCGAGCGCTGAGCGAGATGGAGGGTGGTGCGCTCGGGGGTGTTAGCGACAAGCTAAACGTCAGTGTGGCTGGCAAGCGTACTTCGTCACGGCCATCTGCATCTGCCATGGCCGCCAGTGCCAGCTCGGGAAGGGCTTCGGCTGCCTCGCCTATCTCGCCCACCACACCTGGTTCCGCTGGCGGTCAAACGCAGCACCAAGTGCTTCACAACTTCTTCCAAAGCTTGTTGACACCTAAAGACCGAGCCTTAGCTGGTGGCAACATCTCCCGGTCTACTTCAACGAAACCCAATGGGACGGAGGAGAGCAATGGCTCGTAAATTGTACGATATCTGCTCTTGCACCGATACCCAACCATAATTTGTTACCATTTCGTGACTGGGCTCCTGATTTCTCTCCGGAAATGCGATGTCCGATTGCAGCGGAGCTGAACCAAATTGACGCCACAATTTCCATACAACAGTAAACAATTCCCAGCTTTCTTCCCAACCATATCGACAACCCAAGGGCCCTTGGTGGCACTGGCAGGCTCAGTATATTATAACCCAAAGAACCCGACCGTCATGGGCAAATGGTCTGTCTGCGGTCATTTGCATGTAACAACGACTCACACATGCTCTAGGACTCTCGAGTATCATGACGACGTCTTCACACACAAGATGAAGACATTAGTGTCCGTCCTGCACGCTCTTATTCTGCTGCACGAGCGCTGAAAGTGTATCTACATAGTGCTGGAGCTTGTAAACGTCTCAGCTTGGAGAAAGGGGAGCCCGTGATCAGTTACGAAACCTTAGTGGAGGACCTTGACACGTCGGACGCGTTCACGGCAACCATGATAGAGGTGTTGGTCAAGGTGTGCATGGCCGGTTTGCAGCGTGCCGTAGTCACTGACCTTCTCCAGGAACTTGCGGATCGTCGTGAACGGCGCAGTCGCGCGGATCATCGCCTAATTGCTGAGCGTACCGCTACCACCTTGCGCGCTTTGGGATCGCCACATTGCATTCACCGTCCTTCTGGTCATCTGCGACATAGCCACCTGTCCACGGGCGGCCTCCTTACCGAATACCTCACGGACCCCCCAGAGGAAATGGGAATGGATGACGAAGACGAAGGAGAGGACTTCGGTTCTATCCTTGATGGTGCCACCAACACTACTTCCGCGCTCTACGATGCTATGAGCCAGGAGCCGAGCCGCTCAACTGGACCTCCCCGCTCAGGCTCAGCATCGACACGCTCGAATCTCCACCCATCACTACCAAGGCCACGCAGCACATGGGCTCTGGGTTCGTCGAGAAGTCTATCAACGAGCCTCACCCGACAGACATCCCTTCGACGCAATTCTCGGAATCGACCATTCGAGTTCGAGGCCCATAGTCTCCAGCGCCGCCACGAGTCTCGGGAATTTGAGGCAGAGCGCAATCATTTATCTGAACCTTCCAATTCCGACAGGTCGTCCTATGCATCTCGTACGAGGCTTTCACCTGCTGGGAGACCTTCCCCGTTCAGCAGATCCCAGCGATCTGAGGAGGTTAATACATCCGATGACCCGCCTAGCATGCGGACAACCGCTTTGCATGATGCGGAGATCCAGTCAGGTACCGGCCACGAAGCCTCATCTTCACGACCCAGTCTGTATCAACAATCACTTCCGTCTATCCACACCATGTTGACTCGTCCGGCGAATCTTTCTTCAGGCAGTAGCGCGCCGCGCCTCCGGAGAGGTGGTCTTCGCGCACCGGAGTCGCTCGCGACATCGCTACCACCGCGACGCTCCTTCGAGACGCAGTGGTCGGAAAGCACGGCTGAACTGCCCGTCCACGAGACGCCATCAACGAGCGTGACCAACGCATCGCAAACCGCGCCTGACACTCATTATGCTCTTGTTACTCCTCCTGCGGACTTCTAAGGATCAGTACATACGAGAGCCTGTGGTTTATCGTGGATTCTTGTTTGCTGTCTCCCTTGTACATGTGTATGCGACCGGAGTGTCGGTGTTGTTGAGTGCACTGCTGAATGAATAAACTAAGAGTGCCTAGTTCCACTGCATATCCATATCAAGCGCAAAGCATGTCCACGTACAGAAAACAATCATGAGTATACTACAGCCTATTATCATCTTTTCATCCTTTTCTTGAATCGCTCCATCACCTGAGCGGGCAATCATTAAGATGTCAACATAAAGAACATAACGACAAACCATCTCGTCTGTTGCCATTTGTGTTCGTTCATTGTGCGGTCGCCGATTTTCTTCCTGCGGTGGAAGCCCCATAGCTTCCAGCTTGGCATTCCGCAGAATCTCAGCGTCCGTCTTTGCGTTATGGTTTGGCCGGTAGACTGCGCGGACAGATATCAGATTCGTGCTTAGCAGCGAAGCCACCGAACTAACATCTGGAACCGGGAATCTGCTCCTCGTCCTCGCGTTTCCTTCGGTTATCCTTCCGTTCCTCAGCGACAATCCGTTTTGCTCTTTCGGTCTCCTCGATGTTTTTGAGACGAGCACTCAATGAAATCTCAGCTGGTATTTGATATTGGGGGGCAGTCGACTTACTCCATGCCCAGGTCCACTTCTGGGATTGCGGTGAGCATCGCCAAGCTATTCGTCACGTTCCCTTCCTCTTCCTTCTCGTTCTTTTTGGAGAATTTGTATCTGTCTGCCAGTCGATTTAGCTCGGCATACGGATCCGCTGGATCGTCGCTCTTCTCTTCCCGCTTCGCGCCTCTGAGTTTGGCCATATTCTCTTCGATATATGCCATCCTATCAAGCTCGAGTGAAAATGTCGTTAAATATGAGTGTATCGCGACCGACATGTGTCTATCGACATCCAGGGTGTTCGTTTGCTGGGTAAAATTACTGGTACGGACGGCTCGTCGCGCCTTCGCCTCTTTGTCGTCTTCTCTGGTCACAGTGAAACACAGCGGAACAATAATGTAGCTGAAATCAGGACTCACTCATCTTCGTCGTCGTGATCCTTGTCTAGGGCAGCTCCTGCCTTCAATCCGCCAGAATCGACGGTTGACTCGTCTTCCCCTTGTTTCTTCTTGCGCCTTTTCTTCGCATCTCCGACGGTGAGTTTTGTGGCATCGATGCCCTCCCGCGCACGCCTCAGTTTCCGGAGCTCGATGAGATCAGATATGCTGAGGAAGATTGAACACATAAACAACAAAGTGCGAAGGATGAAGCAGACCCTAGCTCCTCGTCGCCGGCTTCGTCTTGTACTTCGGCCGCCTCATTCTCCCCATCCCGAGGAGCAATTGCGCGTACGGGCTGATGCGGTCGGTTTCGCCTTTTGATCATGAGAAAGCCTGAGAGAGTCTGCTGAGCCTGAACTGTGGGGTTGGCAGAGTTGGCCTTACAGTGGTCCTAACCCTAAGTTTTCTACATAGCGCACACAAGACTTACTTTCCACCATGACTGCATCAGATTCGGTGTCCATATTCACGGAGGGTACTTTCGAAGAACAGGTCGGGGATAAGGCACGATGTTCTTTGAAAGCGCTCAACAGATTTTCATAGATCCAAGAACTCGTCCTATACATTGGACGGGATAAGTCAGAGGAAGAACAGGCAGCATTCCTCAAGCCCTTCCAAGACGCCCTTGAAGCCCAAGGCTCTGATGCGGAACATGAACAGCGACGAAGGACTGTCTTCCAAAAGGTTTTAGGAGAGGTGAAGACGCTAGGCGACGGGTCTGAAAAAGGTGCGTGATGGTACCAGACATCAACGATGATGTTAAAGTCTGCTTCTCAGAGATGGAGGGATTTTTCAACCTTCTCTTCGCACATCTATTATCATTATGGCCTGTCAACTCTGCTGAGACCAAAGCCCATGTTACTACGCTCTTGCACGTAATCTCTTCGGCCCATTCAGCAGATGAATCGATCAAATATCGCGTGTAAGATTCCGTTCCCTACCTGCGACGCCTTCCTAACAGCAGTTTTTAGCCTATCCAATCTGTTTAATGCACTTCCACGACGATCGGCATTGCGCCTCCCCGTATACAATGCCATCCTTCGAGTGGCAAGCATAACTGGGGACCTCGCTGAAATTCGCGAATCGCAGGCGGTTATCGAAAGATGGCTCTCGGAGTGGGAAATCAGCACAGAGGAGAAGAGCGAGTTCTGGAAAGGACTTGCAGACACATATGTCAATGAACCGTGCGTATGCAGCTGCTGCCCTGCGACTTCAATATGAACGATGGTTTTCTAGCGAAGCCTCGTACGACTACATTCTGTCGTATCTGCAGTCCCTGCCCGCATCTTCTCCTGCCGCGAAAACTGCGGCAATCGACGCGATTGCACAGGCTCTTCGGCTACCCTCCATTTTCAACTTCGACCCATTGTTCAAAATAGATGCCGTGCTAGCAGCAAAGGACCACGAACTCTTCTCCCTCCTGCACATTTTCCTCAACGACGGTTTTCCGGAATTCAATGCTTGGGCAGAAAGCCACAACGCGACTTTCGCGACGTACGGTAAGCTCGTTGACTCTTCGACATGAAATTCATCGATTTTTCTAACTTTACAAAGGCCTTGATCGCGCCCAGCTTGAACGCAAAGTGCGATTACTGACACTTGCCTCCCTGTGCTTCCAAAATGCTGGCAAGGACATTTCCTACTCCACAATAGCCTCCGCTCTGCAAATTGAACCTTCTGAGGTAGAGAGATGGGTAATCGACGGTATGTCACTTGGCATTTTGGCGCTCCCTGCTGCAATCGACGCGGGCTCTCATGACCATACAGTGATACGTGCCCAACTGTTGACTGGCAAACTCTCGCAAACATCACAAACGCTGCGTGTTATCCGTGCCAAGGCACGGACATTTGAGCGGGCTCAGTGGGAGGTACTCGAATCGCGCTTGGTAGCCTGGAAGCAAGGTCTTTCCTCCGTCCTGCAAGTGGTTTCAACGGCACGCGCCACTCAGAAGAAAGCGCCCGTTGTCGTGGTCAAGGAGAAAGATAATAAAGAGGATTCAGTGGGCACGGCGGTGGCGCAGGATACCGCTTGACATTCGTGAATAATATCAGGGTTAGGTGATGTATCTCTCGATATGTATGTAATCCACAAATCCGATTTGTAGCATTGGGGACAGTCGATGCAAGACCGGATGTGTCAGTATTTTACCGTGGTTTGGTGGGATGCGAGGCGCCAGCTGAGCTCAGTGAGCTGTCTCAGATGACCAAGAGCTTGTTACCGGGTCTATGTGCGTTGTTTTCAGTTCTAATAATTCGCTGAAAACCACTTACTTATCCTGATGTATATTACTCATAAACACGTAATAACAAGGACTCATCATCATCAGTGTTCCACTGGCATCGAGTCGCCCTTCTGAGCTATATAATCAAGTTTACCCACTATGTACGTACACTCAAATATCCAGCAAAGCGGTGCCGATGATGGAGGCACACTGGCGCGGAAGCTTTCTTGTCTTAGCGCCCAGTTTATGTAACTCATCGTCTTCACGGTCACCGCAGCTCAAATGGCGATCATTCAAGACATTGTTCAAGACGCTTCCATGACAAATCCAGATTTTTTTCTCAACCGTCTCACAAATTTGTGCCAGCAACTAGAGACAATCCTACCGGCACTTATGTCGCTATCCCGATCAATATTCCCAAGAGATCCATCGGCGTCTCCTCGCACATTCGAGCGCGAGACGATGTGGAGAGAGCGACTCGATCATCCTTCATCCTTCATCATATATCTCACATTGGTGAACAATCCTTCGGAGCCGATCGCAGTACTTTGTGTCTATCCTCGTTCGCATCACCCACCACTGGACATAACGCCAAGCGAACACCCGCAGGGCGTGAAGACGAGCATGCATGTTTGGTTGGCAGGGGTGAGGGAGGACATGCGCAGACGCGGCTGCTTGGACATGATGCTGCATGAACTAGACGGTTTGGATGTAGTGACGATATGCACTTTCCCGGAGGTGTTTGGGGAAATGTGGATATGGTTGACGAAACGGGGATGGCAAGTGGAAAGAGACCTGGGACATGGAAAGGTACAGCTTATCCGTGTTTCCAAGAGAGAGACAGATAGCAATGTAATCTAGTGGTACATGTGCGAGATGTTCACCAATCTCCATCGAAGCCATGGAATCCTGCAGACGGCGTCAATTATGATATCATATGACAGACAATGTGTAACACACCAGTGAGCAGAAATATCGGAAAGTATCGCTTCTTTTCTATTGTGGAGCACCAATTCCAGGCACTGGTTAGGCGGCCATCGATACATGATCCCGCGTCGAAAAAGTTGTCTGCGCCTAAATAAAACAAGATGAGGTCGTCATTTACGCCGGGTCCGACATCCGGCTTACCCGATCCATCAAAGCCATGGCGGAAGAAGTCACCGAGAATAGCTAACGTTGCGTTCTCGACCGACCCAAACTCATCTTCCAGATAAGACTGCAGTGCTGGAATCTTAGCAAGATCGGATATCTTGGATAGTGTATTGCATATTGGCAGTAAGATGCGGTATATTTGGGAATATTTGTCTGTTCACCATAATCAATGTAACGAAACCAGGTCGACATCCGAGGAGAACGACTTGCCAATGAACATAAGAGCATTCGGAACATTGTGATCACCCATGTGAATGACCGAGCTGCCCACCCAGCTACCGATACTCCGCTGCGCACGATTGAGAATGACGTGCATCATTCGCGAAGTCTTGGGTGCAGCTTGGATGCGATTAAGGCCCTGCCCAGTGTCACGAAGACGGTAGGATATGCTCTCCGATAATAGATCCTGCTCCGCAAGCGACCAGAGATGAAACATTTCTTTGTTATGTCAATGAGCTGAAACAAGCGATGGGTAACGAGCATACCGTGAAGAATTTCGCGCCAAAGCGTGAGACTCTGGAGGACATATGCATATTGCTTGCTATGATCGTGGGAGAGGCGTGCGCCTCCTTTGCCGCTCTTGATTGCCAAACTGGTCTTGTTATCGTTGGCCTGAGTAGGGTGGAAGTACTTCTTGAGGTATGCGATCATGATATCGCACGGGTCCCGGTTCGTTCGCAGGAAAGAATGATTATCACCAATGCTGATACATCGATCTGAATGTGCGCATCACCAACAAAAAAGGGGACTAACCTATAGATACATTGGCGAAGGTTCTCTTGACTTAATTCCTTGCGCTCGTAGCGAGAAACAAGGGTTTCGATGGCACGCTCCTTTGCCTTGATGTCCTTCTGAATGTCGCGACGGGAGCGGCCTTCAGAGTAGATTTCCTGTGTAGCAACAGATATAAGGTCATCCTTGAGAAGGTCTATCGCTCCGTGTTCTTCTAAGACCGAATAAACCGTTTTGATAGGGCGAACGCATGAAAAGTTAAGGAGGTTCTTGACATCGGTACTTTGACTGTCCTAAACGGGTTGTTAGAGGCAGTGATCCTGAGATTAGCCCCAGCTCTTACTTGAAGCATATATATTAGCTTCCCGTATGTTGTCCGCATTTTGTCTGGGTTCATGATCTTATGCCTTGGTGTCGTGTTCATTCCGTTACAACAACTCAATAAGCTGATGGCATTACCTCCGACCTAACTCGAAGATGTCTTGATAGAACTCGGAATTTGCTTCGAAGTCGCGATCTGAGAAAAGATCCTGTCCTTGCTTGTAGTCTGCTGCGACGACCAACCCGGACAATATAGCGCATAACTCCCGGATCTGATGAACTATTCGCTTCGCTTTCGACAAACCGAACCCGAGTGTATCGATTTTATCCGTGTATTCAGAGACGAGGAGGGCCGCCTCAAGCAAGCGAAGATACTTGCGCTCGCTCAATGTCAAGCGCACTGGTATGAATTTGGAGCGCTCAACGAACCACTCGCCGACCTTCGATCCAACCTCAGGTTGAGCTCCGAGTGCATGAGGGGGAATGTCGTGGGGCGTCGGCAGAGCTGTGCGCTCATCATCCATCTCCATCTACCCTTATGTCACGAAATGTGGAATGCGGTAGAAATGAGGACAGGGACACACATCGTCGTCGTTGTGTGCAGCTCCGTTCCGTAGGGGGCCTCGGCCAGCCGCGCTACCAGCCGCTTGCGCGGAGATGGATTTGGTGCCACTCAATGTCCGAGCCAAATGCGTTTTCCGGGATCCTTTGCGATGTTGTGCAGCGAAGCATACTTCGCAGAAAGCGTCTGCACAAGCCTCACAGTATAGTAGAGCAGGTTGATCTATGCGCTGAACGATTATCATCTGTCATGGTGATCGTACAGCTTGACGCACCCTCGCATTCGATGCAGAACCCTTCCTGGGCTATTTTTTCTGAATCCTCGTCATCGCTGGGAGTATCTTGAGCGGCTGTTTGAGCTTTTTCGAACGCTTCGGTGTCTCCCAGAATATTGGCTAAGTTGAGCCCATCGCTATCCGGTTGCGCGGACATCCCGGGAGCTTGCAGGTATTGAGAGGGCTCAAGTAACCACGCAGTGAACGCCCGTCCTTCGTTTTCAATGTTCACGCCCGTCTTTCAGTGAACTGACCTTGGCTCGTATATACAGAGACTGTAAGTTAACTCAGTGATCATTCTTCAGCCGCGAGTGACAAGTCTTGAACCGTGTCCCCAGAAGAAACGACAATAATGTCGTTTCAGAAATTCCTCGTACAACTGGCGCAAGCTGTTCAGTCGGAAAACGGACCTAACCTCGCGTTCCTGTTACGGCCCACAAGCCCGCACGGTAGAGATATCGTGAAGGAGCTTCGAAATCCTACGGTCAGTTTTCTTACACCGATCGAATGCACTCGTTCGATTACCCCTCATCTGAACGAAGTCTGTTGGCGCCATGACAGTATCAATCGATGTCATACTACAAAGGCAGCCTCGAAGAGCCTTGGGATGAAATCGCTATTCGATACGCGCTAGTGGTTGCACAAGTTGCAAAGGACCGACCTGCCGAGGCGTACAAAGAAGAGAAACTCCTTGTGGAGTGAGTGGATCCTGACTGGATGATGTGCGTTGAGCTAAGTGTCTATATCCATAGCAACTTCTACGGTTACTTGCAGAGGCATAGCGGTTGGACGTTACCAGCACTTTTTGCGATTTTACGCGACCTTAGAGATCTAGCCTTTGATGTTGGCCCACCACATCATATGTTGCTGGATGCTGCGCTCACGTACTACAACAGGCCGACAACAGTGCCTTGCAGACAAGTCAACAGACCGAGTGCATGGAGGATGCTGCCCGAGTAATCTCCAAGGCGTTTGGGCTATGCATGACTGATAGGTAAGGGCCAACGCTGATGTATGTTCGGACCCATTTGATCGGTAAAATTGCAGGATCTCACCATATGGCGAGTCTCGCAAGTGGGGGGTGTATTACATTGTGGGCTTAGTCTTCAAGTCGTACTTCCGAGTTGGTCCTTCATCCGAACAAACATTCAAACTCAACATGAGACGTGATATTAGGTGAAGCGGATCTCGCTATCGAAGAACATATTGCGTGCCTTGGAAAACAACGCTGAAATACCGGCCTTGAGCGAATACCCCAAGGCGCATCAGGTGGGAGCATATTACTGACATGGAAAGCAAGCCTTAACGATGCAAAGGTTACTTTCAGGTACTACGTTGGGATGTTGAGCTTCTTGAACGAAGACTATGCCAAGGTTTGGGCTGCCTCCATGTATGCATGCTGACCAGAACTTGTGACGTACTGTGTTGCTGCAGGCAGAGCAAGAACTCACAATGGCCTTCTACAACTGCCATATTCACGCTCCTAGGAATCATGAGTGAGTGGAGGCACTACGAATACCCCGGTAACAATTCATCTCGTTCACAGACGTATCCTGACCTATCTAATTCCACTCCGAATTCTCCGAGGCCACTTGCCCACGCACGAACTGCTACAGCGCTTCTCAAGCTTGAATGAGATGTTTTCTCCCTTCATTGCCGCTATCCGCCTAGGGGATCTAAGATCTTTCGATGTGGCTCTAGAGCGCTGGGAGTTGCGGCTGGTGGAACTCAACCTTCATCTTATGCTGGAAAAAGCTCGCGAACTGTGCATGAGGAGCTTGTTTCGCAGAGTGTGAGTCTTTGCGAAGCGTATATCCGGATTGCGGATGATTTAACAGCCTTCTTCCCTGCGCAATAGGTGGGTGATATCCCAGAAAAGCACTCGCATGCCAATTGCACTCTTCCATCTTGCTTTGCGTTCATGCGATCTGGATGTTCCGGTGGAGGAGGCCGAGTGCTATGTTGCTAACATGATTTACAAGGGATTTATGCGTGGATATGTATCCCATGAAAAGCAGATGGTGGTGCTCGCTGCTACGAATGCATTCCCGAGACTGGCGGATCGACAGTCTCCCTTCGCTGTTGTGTGAGGCAGTTCTGTCTACAGGGATCGTGATGATTTAGGACCGCACGGTGTACTTGTGCCAGTAAAATATCACTACAGCCTATTGCACCTTTCTGTGATGTTCTCATCAGATGGACCACGCCACAGCAACATATGTAACAGTGCTCGCACAGGCTATGCGGCCGTATTTGTGATATGTCGAGGCTGGTTTTGGTCTTCCCCTAACGCTACATAGAACGCTGGTTCGGTGGTCCTGCTTTATCGGCGAACAAGAGTCGACAACAGCCTGAAATCGTCCATACCGTAAAGGATGTGCACAGCCTACCGGCAGTCTCCCGCCCACCGATATCCTTGGAGCCTCACGCTTGCAATGAGGGCTGCACCGTAGGGCTAATACCCCCAGTACGGCGTCCTATGCACTGCCAAGCCCTGCTTATATCTTGAACGCTGCTCTGGTATCATCCTCCGCCTATGACCGTCCTTCTCCAAGGAACATGGGCAACACTTCATCCTCTGTCACGCAACCGCATTCTGTTGCGAAGTTCAAGGCCCATAACCGGGACGGTTTTGCGCAGCGACGAGCGTCGGTTTATGCTGCTCGCTCAAGTCCTCGACCCAACGAAGCCCATCGCAGAACGAGGTCCACTGGCGTAATCGTCCGAGAGCCAGATGCACCTCCACCCTACTCCGCGGCGCTCAGAACTGACTGCACCCACTCGACACGAGATTCAGCTCTACAATCTAGTCCGAACCCGAACCATGACCGTGCTCAGTCTCTATTATCTCCCAGGGATCCCTCGAATAACCCGTTCCGAGTCTCTGCATCGAGAAGAGAGGCTGAACTCCCGGGCTTGCCACCTACTAACCATGCTGAAGCGTCAGCGCCTGGTAGCATATCCTCGCGGAGATGGAACAGCTACCGGGTCGAAGATGCGCTGCAGACACTCAACAAGTACGACACCGTAATCATTGTCGATGATTCGTCCAGCATGGCTGGTGCCCATTGGAGTGAGGTGCGCTGTCATTTACCTTGCTCCTGATTCAGTCTGAACAGAACCTTCGTCAGACGCGGGCAGCTCTTTCGCAACTTGCTGAGATAGCGGCGAAGTACGACACAGACGGTGTGGATGTGTATTTCCTCAACTCCTCGCAATCTGGCAGTGGCTTAAAGGTGGGACAGTGGACATGCTTCGTAGTGGTTGCATGACCGCCTAACGTACCGTGCGCCAGAAAAAAGCAGACGTCAAGCGACTTTTCGATGGCGTAGTGCCTTTTGGTGTTACTCCCATTGGGGAGAAACTCGAGGAACTGCTACTACGCTACCTTTCCCATCTTGAAAGGGCGAAGGACCAGTACGAAATGGGCGACGTGCATGCCTTGGACAGCATCAAACCCATCAACTACATCATACTGACGGACGGGGCACCGAGTTAGCCAGAGCCACATCGCTACATCTGTCAGGCGCTCATACGTTTGCAGCCGACGATCCAGAAGCTGTCATCGTGTCAGCTGCTCGGCGCCTAGACGCAAGGCACTTCCCGTTGACGCAGGTAGGAGTTGTCGAATGATGAGCGATGAGATATTTGAAGAACCGACGTGACAGATTGGTGTGCAATTCGTACAAATCGGAGATCATCCTGAAGCGGCTGCGTTTCTGCAAGAACTTGATGATGACCTTCAAAGAAACCATACTATCCGGGTAAGCTTGGTAGGTTCGGGGTGATTTGCCCTAACGCGCATCGTACAGGATATGGTCGATACGACTCCGTATGCGGGGCAACTAAACGTGGAGACCCTGACGAAGATACTGCTAGGGGGCATAAATAGGCGTGTGGATCGAAGAGGCGGCGGCAGTGTTCTATACTGAGTAAGGCCGTAAGCGGATGACGGTGATGTGGTCCTTAGAGGGGCTGTTCAACTAAGAATGCGGCTAAATAAGTCGGCGCTCAATACATGCAACCTTATCCTACATGATGTGCATACTCCGGTCATAGGCTCACTCTGCGTCGCGAGGAGTGATTACAAAGACCCGAAGCGCAATTTGAATGCTTTCGTTGCGTCCATTCCTGTCAAGGATGGTAGCCTCACCTCCGCATGAATGGAGTGATGGTCCGCGCGGGAGCTGAGGAGCCTTGGAAATCCAACTAATCAGAGGTCCGCGACAGACAATATTCCCCTTATTGGCTGTAGGTAGCCACCTTCGAGTGCACGCGAAGGTGTTTCAATCCATCCCAACCAGGGCGTGTAGTGTGATTTGCTAGTTAAAGATCCCAATCTTCCAGCGCAAAAGCGAATTGCTCGAAGTACGGAGCTGTTTTCAGATCGTTGCATGACAAGGCGGCGACGCCCCTTCGTAGGAGGCGGACGAGGCCATCCAGATCCGCTCCAATGGTTTCCAGTTGTTTGAGATGGTCTCCCGGCGCCAGTGATGCGGAAAACGTGGGAAACAATGTTGGTTCTGTATCGTCGAACTCGTTCTCCTCCGAATCACTGTCTGTGTCAGAAAAGTGGTCCGCCTGTAGTGTTGAGAAGCCAACGACGTTACGTCGCTCTTTCCTAAACCGACGACTGCGATGTCGATAGCCGTGCTTCAGGATGGAGTCGGTGGCGGTTGCGTCAAGGGTCAATCCGCCTGTAAAGGCAACGTAACATTCGCTGAAGTACAAGCATTTGTCGAGAATCTTGAGGACGGTTTGATGCGAAGTCACGGTCTGGAAAGCAACCGATTCAACGTGCTGTTCGCCGAAGTTTCTACTTGTGACTGACGTCGGAAACGAGAAGACATCCCTCCTGAAGCTTAGCCAGGCTAAGCAGTCTTCAGTCCGGGATGGCTTGCCTGATATGCCACACTTACTGATCATTGTGTATATCTATCATTTCGTCAAGAGAATGGCTCCTTCGGATATCTTCACGGAACCTCAGAACTTGCGCTTGGATAATCTATACTTCACGTCAGCTATCCATGTCGGCTGAGCCGGCGACGACACGTACGTTCGTCGAGATGAAGGTCAGTAGAGTGCTGCAACCCGTCAGTCACCAGAAAACCGGCGTGGTTATGGAGTACACGTACTTCACAAACCACAACAATCTACTTCGCATCGCGTGTAATGCTATGGAGCATGGCCCTCCACTTTTCAGCCATGTCCGTTCGAGTGCGCTTTTTGCCCTGCGTATTTGCAGCATGAATACGAAGATGCTGTTATATACCCGCAGCGCTTTTGGGCCGCATATGTAGGTCAGTGGGAAAGGGACGGCATATTCGAGCATCAAGCCATCGATGACATATACGCTCTGTTTTGGATTGTGCTCCTGCATTCGTCTTCTGTATGAGAAGCGAACCAGACTGCTGTCGATCCAACGAGATCTGGTAGAAGACGCCATTGCAGTGTCCCGAAAGGCACTATTCATGAAGTGGAAATCATGCCACTGCAAGTCGGAGTCCATCTGCCGGCGGCTCATCAGATCGTGACTAGCGAAACCTAAAAAGCACTCACTCGTGCAAATATGATAGCGGCGAAGCGTGACATAGCGTCTCCGCGAGCCATTAAATACACACTTTCGATGGCATTGAAGTGCTCCCAGAGGCCACACTCATTGACCAATCTTGATGCGGCAGCCTGTGCGACACGACATTGAGGGACAAGGTGATCAAACACGAGCGTAGGAAGCGCAGCAGCTCCGGCGTTCCACGATTTCGAAAGGTGATCCTGATGTTCACCTCCATGGTTTACAACTTGGGTTATAAATGAGATGTCCTTCCAATCGCCAAGCCATGGTCTATCAGAGTTGGATTCGAGTTCGGATGCACTGAGCGCACGGAGAAGGCCGACAGATTTGCCCGCGCTCAGAACATGCGGTGCGACTTGTCGCAAGAACTTCGGGAGCACGGTTTTTGACCTTTGATCATTTGAGTCGCCTGGCTGGCCTCGTAACACGTACCCCTCTGTCCAAAAATCCGGATCCAACACCTGCATACCATTGTCCTCAATGTAGAATTCAGGATCTAGGTGTGTGGACACCGTTGTTGACGGATGAGGGACCGAGTGAATCTCATGCGGTGGTCCGTGTTGAAGCCAAGTTCGCGTCATGTCCCAAGTTGGTCTGACGGTGCAGATGAATATACGCATGAACGTTTCAGACGTGTGGATCCGGCCGATCATAGAATGTCGATGCACGGCATCGAGCAGTGTATCAAGAAGCAACGTTGTGAACGACGAAAGAGACACTCGTATGGGTAAGGCTGCAAGATTAGCCAGGTCTCCGTCATTCAGCGGTTCAGGTGCCCGAGAAGCCTTGCCAAGGACGGAAGCTAGGATGTTCACCGCCTCTTGATACGTGGATCCGAAATTATCTCCGAGCTCCTTCTCAAGGCTCAGCAGGCTCAGAACCCCAGTGCCCGAGATAACAACCCCACCGTAAGCACGGCACACGTTTTCCTCCTTCTCAGAGCACCATCGTTGGAATGATTGTATTTCTGAATCTATGGCTTCGGCGAAAGCTTCCAACGTGCGACTGGATGTCCGAGGTTCACGTGAAGCAGTTGCTTTGGCGAAGGTGGAAGACACGAACTGCCGGAGGCGCTGAATGTCGGTCGCAAAGCGTGCCAAAGGCTTGAGCAAAGAACATTGCGAGGTGAATGTAAGCTGCAGCAGTCGTGGCATTCTTGGGGACGGTAGAAATGCGTATACCCCGTCAGAATTCCATTCCAACAAAAGATTCTTGCGTCCTTGCATAGCCATGAGAATCTCTCGTACTGCATCGTGTTCATGGATATATGCCTGTTCGACAGTGGTTTCAGTCAAATGCGACTGGCCTCGAGGTTCATACTTCATACCTCATGCTCTGGTCTATCCGCTGTGAGTGACCCACTTTGTCCAAGAGAAAATCCCAAAGAAGGTCCTAAGGTAGACGCGTCCCCGATATCGAACGGTTTCATTATGGACGCGTCGGTGTTCCATTCTGGTCTCCAGTACTGTCTGGCTTGCAGATCCTCCACAAGGCGCCTATGTGCGTACACCCTGCCCCAGTCCTGTTCCGCGTGACGACCGGCCTGTTTAGCGTGTGGGGGGGCTTCGCGTTGTATGCCATCAACCTGTTCGGCCTTCTCCGCTTCGATGGAGGATATGGATTCTTCATCTACTGAGCTTGCGCGCCGCGCAGGGGAAAGACTGGGCGTGGTGTCACCACTGCTGGAGCCCTCCAGACCTCTGATTGAACCAAATTCCAACCCAAAAACGCCATCCCAATGCTGGCCTTCAAAAGGTTCGTCGGCAAGGATGTCCCTCCATGTCAAAGACGGTGGTGGAGGGGGAGGATGCGTAATATTCTCAACGTAATCTTGAGCGTATTCGAGGGTTGTCGGTGACGGTGGCGCAGAAAGAATAAGTAGCAGCTGCACATGATCAGGGATGTGCGAGATCTACATCGGAGCAGCATGAAAACAAGTACAGTGCGGACAATCCGAGTATACCTGGATTTCAGTGTCAAGCTCATGTGTGCCCTGTTCGACTTGTGTTGCTAATCGGCGGGAAGCAACTTTAAGCGCCGTAGCCAGCTTTTCATTAGATTGTATTCGAGCCTTTTCAACGTGTCTGCGGAATTACTCAGGGTCATGCGTGGTGAGCATGATGGACCACAATACAGACCTACCCCCGAAGTTGTCTTTGAATAGATGCTAGATCCATGCTTGGTCCGCCTTTGCCGGTGAAGCTGAGGCTCTTTGTCACATATTCAACGGCTGTGTGGAAATTCTCCTCGTCGTTGAACGCGCGTATCCCGGTGACTTGAGTGACTAATGTTTCGTACAACGGCAGCAACCGCGCGGACTGTCGGGTCGAAGCTCGTGATACCGGTCTCCTTGATATATGCGTCGACGTGCTGGACAGAGGTCGATCGGGTGCATAGCTGACCGGTGTCTTACGGCCTGATGCGCGAGGGGCGGATCCGGTAGATGGTGGTCGTCTGGATGCGCTCGACGGTGATCGTTCCGTAGCGCTTGAACCGGGTCGAGAGACACTGCCGTTTGAATTGGATGGTACCATGCCGCAGTAGATATTGGCTTGATTGACACAGATGGATGGCGAGCGCAGGATAACAGTTCAAGCAATGCGGGTCTGGGCAGAAATGGGACACAACCGCGCCACACAGAATGACTCTAGTCGATATCAGCGTCATTTCTGCCAAGTATGGTGGTCCGTATCGGACAAAAATAATGTCAATCTGAGAATTCATTCAGATTCATCCGTTTTCATTCGCTTCCATTCGCTTTCATCCGTATAAGAATGACTTAGTTTATCTTATTCCATATGCACAGCCACAAGTGAGCTTAAATGAATTTGGATGAAAAATGAAATCCAATGAAAATATTTGCACTGCCACGATGCCCTGTTAGCGGTACTACTGCATGAATCTGGATGAATTTGAGTGAAACTGAATGATCTTGAGTGATTTCAGATGATTTTCAGTGATTTTGGATGAAAACAAATGAACGGCAATGAAAACGAGTGAAAAGTCCCAAAAGCCGCCATTATTGTCCGATACGGCCCGGGAAAGCCAACACGTTCGGCATGAAAAGTTGGATGGTGAACGGTTCGTTCAGAAACATAATGATTCATCTTAGCAATTATGGGGTACAATACATTGTCGAGGAGGATTTCAGAAATACAGGCCAAAGTCAAGTTTTATGAAAGAACCGGTTTGATCGGAATCCATGGCCGAGTTCACCTGTTCATCAGCGCCTGAACTGATGTCCAAGGTCAATGGAATCTGGTGGAAAGACGAGTAGTGAGAATCATCTCCATGAGCATAAGGTGATACGTCCTGGTATGCACGGCGTCAGGTGACAGAGGCAGGCACAAAGCTGATCATCCTGGTTATGGAGATATGGTGAAAGCTATGACGCGGTAGCGGTAGCCGCAGCCGCAGCCGCAGTGCTTGTAGCGATTGCAACGTTTTCGCCAAAGGGTAATTGAGGAGATTTGCTGTCGGAGGGTGTCTCGAGAACATTTCCGTACAGCCCGTTCGAGGTCCGGGCTGGACTACCGTTGGTTACCGCGCCTTCACTTGCAGCAAGAACCGGCTTTTCAGTCGTCGATTCCGAGGTCAACTCCGAGGTCATGTACGAAGGTCTGTCGAAAATGGCGCATTGAAGAACGAATCGTGCGGAAAGAGGACTTCACCAACCGCCGCTTCTTGTTTGGTTGCTCTGGAGAGGTATTGCCCGACTGACCAGAATTCTTGACAGAGAGTGCGAATAGGGTCAGTAGACCATGAGATTCGATTCACATCTGATTATGTACCTTGCTCGTCTTGGGTCGTTTCTGCGGACGCGTCTGACGGCCGCCCTCGCCAAAGACGTAGTCGGGTAAAGCAGTACTAAGGCGCCAGCTTGTGAGCGTCGTATCATGCGTGAGTGTTTGCAAGCTCACTGTCTGATATGTCTGACAACGATTCCCATTTTCGCTTCGTCAAACTTCTCCCACATTTTCACGAGTTTCGTGAACTCTGTGGTGGGATAACTGATGTCAAGTTTGCGGGGCCCGTTTGACCCCGCTTGTCGTCACGCAGGTCAGTCTCGAAATGACAATGGAGATGACAGTTCTTCGTACGTTGCTTAGGCTCTATGGCCAAGCCTATGTAGAAGGTTGTGGTGTAGACGGTGCTAGCGCCTTCCTTATCCTTGATATCTTCCAGTACTCTCTTCTTGACAGTCTCTGATATCTCGCCCTGAGCCACTGCACGCACCTCTTCATCGGAAAGACAGTACGAGACTTGCTCGAAGCCTTTGATGAAAGGATGGGCAAGAGTCAAGGAATCGACATATTCTAGCTTCATGACAAGCTGACGTATCCTGGACTCGACCGTGCCGGACCTATTGGGTGTTGAGAATGATCGCAAACCGAAAAACGAAGAACGCACCACTTCAGCTGCAAGTCTGCATTGCCAGTGGACGCAATAACCTGCAGGTAATAGCGATACTTGTCGAAGAAGTCGTGCTTGATGAACAGCTCTGACCAATCTGCAGTGCCCACGATGATCTTCTCTACCAACTCCGAACCTGCATGATATCAGCATGACTTTCGCGAAGCACACTCGAGATATACCTTTCTTCAGCTCTTCGGTGATAATCATCTGCGTCGAGGCCATAACGTTGTGTGTTGCACACATTGCAGGGTATGCGGGGGTAATAATCGGCATCCGATGAGCTCGGTCGGTGGGATAAAGCTTGCATCTTGTTAGTCTAAATCACTTCTTCATAGCTTACTATGCCTCACCTTCGGATTCCAGACGCGGACATTCAATGGGCCTTCTTCGATTGTCTTCAACAGCACAGGCTGCGGCCATTTCCTATGAAAAATCGTCACGATGATTGAAAGAGACAATAAAGGTAATCCCACCATTGATACATGATGATGAAGAATCGGCTCACGATGGCCCCGGCGCACGCGTTGGGATATAGTTGGCAAACACGTGCTACGAGCATTGCCCAAGCGACACCGCCAAGGAAGCCGTTGACGTTAGAATATATGGCCTTCCCTGCTTCCTGACTGAGTGGAATACTCCATGGTGGTAAAGGTGGACGGACTTACTCGTGGCCCATAACTTGATGCATCGCAACGCTACTCTGAAGACGTTGACCTCGGGTACCAGACGTAGGATAGCATCAGTGACCCTGGACCCTGATAGTTGACGCGCGTTAACAGCGCGTAAGACCCCAATGGTGTGCGGTACTTGCCGTTCAGACTTCGAACGCAACGTTCATCCAGATTGCGCAGTAAATTATCATCAGAGAGATCAAGGTCCTCTGGTATTGAGGACAGCGCTAAACGTGCCATGGTGAAATCGATGGGAATACCCAGAACCTTGGCCTTGATGACAGGTACAAATGCTTCCGGTACGCCCTATGCAACAGACGTAAGTCTCGTTCTCTCTGATATTTATCCGAAAGAAAAAGTCAACTACTCACGGACACCTCAGTGACTCCATCCATTTCGCGCAGTCTTCTTTCGAAGACGTCGAACCATTCCTCGCGCGATACGTGTTTAGGCACTACACATAAGGTATCGATATCGGAGCCAGGACCATGTACACCTAGTCGGTATGACCCAAACGTAAAGATCTTCCCACCGGCTGCGTTGGCAGCGCTTTCAGAGAGGCCGTTCGCCAGTGAAATCTCGTGCACGCATTTTTTGACAAGAGCCGCCACCCGACCTAGAACAATTTCACTGCGAGATCATGGTATACGGTCAGAATCAAGTAAGAAGAAACCAATACACAAGCGGCCCATGATGCATCACCAAAGCGACCCAATACTGGTCCATTGGATCAAGGGGAAAAACGCTCAAACAGAGTCGATAAAGCAAGTTGGTCTCGAGAGCCATGGCATCCTTAGCAATGTCATCAGGGAAACGTACCGTGTCCGTGCTTCCTCCTCGCCTTCGATAGTCTTCTGCTTCTTGAGCTCTTCAAGCAACGTAATCGTAACCTCCTTTTCTCTAGTTGTAGATTCCATGACGGAGATGGGGGCGGTCACACCCAGATGTCTATGTGCATCGTTGAGGTCCTGAGAGCGTTGCGCTGAGAAGACCGTTCCTACCCATTATGTTGTGCCATGTCTGTAGCGATAACAAGTCGGCGTTCTGGAAGTATGGCACTGGCGTGAGTCCGACGATGAGATACTCGTAAAAATGAGCGGGCAACAAGAACTCGCGAAACGCGGACCAGCGAGATGAAGTTATAGTCGAAGCGAGGGTCTCCGCCACTTGCGACAGCTTGTGGCTGAGCTGCTGAACGCTGCCACTTCGGCGTTGGCAGGAGGAATACTATCGCGCTATATACTTCGTATGACAGTATGTGAGACAATAACAGACCTACAGCCTTACAATAATCTACCTATAGTCCAGCAGAACATCTTCACAACCAAGATGACTAATATGAAACAAGGCGATACATAACAAAGGAGAGTGCAGCGTGATTGGCAGGCAAGTCAATTGAACAGCCCTAAACGGTGTTCCATAATCAAGTTCTAGACGAAGAAAACGGATGTAGGAAAGTGAAGCACTGTTGGCGATTATCCATGGGTATATGCTGACGATCGTTGCGTCATGAAGTACTGGTTGTTGGGAACGCGTCTTCGTCGGACTGCCCAGCGGCGGATGGAATAGGTTGCGAGCAGCGCAGCGACAATACCGGCGATTACGCCAACAACAATTCCCGCTGTGCGCCCAGCGTGGCTTCCGCCGTGGGATGATGTGGAAGGGTCCGACTGCCCGCTCGACGTCGGATTCCCGGCGGATGACGAGTTGCTAGGATTGCCACCGAAAGGCCAATAATCGCCGCCGTCGGGAGGGAGAATGCATGTCAGTCCATCGGCATCCTGGATCGACTGAAAGTCTGACTGGAGGCTGGTGGCAATGGTGTTGTTCCACTGCACCACGAACGCTGCGGGGGTCGGCACTGAGTCTGTGGTACTGCAATTCGGTCCTCGGGATCCTATGAATGACGTGTTTCCGGTGAGAACGTTGTCTTGGACCGTAAAATTGTTGGCTGAGGATACGGCCATTCCATAACCAAAGGCACCAGATAGTTTATTGTCGTGAACATAGCCGTTCTTGTTCTGGTCATCGCCGTATTGATTACCGAACCACGTACGAGGGCCTATCGCGATACCAATCCTTTGTCGATGCAGATGAGGCAGAGATGAAAGATGGAGGTGCGGGGACTTACTTGATGATGACATCTTCATCATTTGTGCCCTTAGTTTCACTATCTTCGTCGCTAGTATCGGTCGCGAAGCCGCCCATAATTGTGTTGTTCCGCACGACGGTACCGGTGTAGTCACCGCTCCATGGGTCGAAGTCGACCATGTTGATTCCTCCTAGAAGCGTTTGCTACGAAAAGCTCAAACTGGACGCCCCATACGTTATAATCAGCGGAACTCACGTTCTCGACCCATATCAGGTTGTTCTCGACAAGCGTCCCGGGCGCCCCAAACAACACGATGCCTCCATCGGTAGGGTTAGCAAGGGTATTATTGAAGATATAGCTGTTGCGACAGCTAACGCTTATTCCGTCCGCCCATTGCTGAAAAGCATCCGACCCGCACGGTCCAATGTCATTGTGTTGGACAGTGGCATTGTTGCATTGGAACGTGCCCTCAGCAAGGTGAAGGCAAGACCAACTCCGAGGATCGTACGACCGTACGTATTCAATGAGCTGTCCCGAGTTATCACCACCGAATTCGATGTTAGCACCACCGTTCGTAGGAGGAGCGCCCAAGCGAGTTCCATTGATCTGAGAACAAAGTTAGTTGAATTACTCGACGAGGCGCAGACGTTGCACTCACCTGTATGTTCCTTAGCTTCACTCCTCCGCACGTCGAGCAAGTGCCGTCAACAGCCGTTGTATGACCAGAGCCTTGCTTCGTAAGCGCCTTCGTTTCCCCGACGATGCACATCACTCACCATTCTCCACGGCTCCGTCCACAACCAGCGTCGCCCTTTCATCTCCGGTAGGATACCCACTGGTACTAATCTCTTGATTTGGTGAGGCAAACTTGATGGGCGCTGTGATGATATACTGTGCGCTGGGACATAGCGATAGTTTGTACCCATCTCCTCCCGAGCTCAAGGCTGCATTCAGTCGGTCCGTTATGGTATTTGCCGGGTCGGGATCTATGCAGTCCGACGATTGACGAGAGGAAACCGAGGCCTCGTTTCTGCACATCAAAGATGAGTGTATGAGCAGTGTCGGGAATGAAAACAGAAGACCTCTTTGTCCGAGCATTTCCCCTAGAAGATGACATAGTCTGAACAACGCAGGCACAAGGGAACGCGTGCGTAGGGGCAGAATGATGGTACCACTGCCGTCGCAGGATGCAACTCGCCAGCGCCAGGCGGCAGCGGCCCAGAGGTGGGCGAGGGAAGTATGTGAAGCGTATGTGAGGCGTGGACGCGCTTTTCACGGACGATCAGGGCATTCTCGTAAACTTCTTTCAGTCTGGTAACATTGCCAACCTTTCAACGCACATATCGCCTTGCACTCACGTTTCCTTGGCCCAGAAGTTCCATCCAGACTTGATGCCACTTGTTCAAGCTATACCTCAGGCATGCCCTACGTCCGGACAAACAGTCTGTATGAGTATCACATTGCATTCGTGCAGCCTAGGCCTCACAAGTATCCCTTTGGCTACTTCTATGTTTCGTGCGCCTAACACTCACAAGATGATTTCTGAGCCTTGAAACAGCTACGTACCACGGGTGCAGCGACCTCGATGTTTCGCCCTACGGAGTCAAGACTCCAGGCTCATTTCTCGGCTTTCACTCGACTGGGTCGATCTCGTTACATATGACCACGAACTCCAGTACCATGCGCCATCCGAGTTCTAGATCACATTGGCGACTGATTGGACGTGCGCCCTCCATGGCAAGGTGTCATGCACGATAGTATTCCCGGTATGACATTTGCATCGCGGAGCAGTGAGTGAGTCTTCAAAGAAGCTGTTCTCGGAACGAATTTCCACTTGCATGAGGGGGACGAGCTACGTCGGGCAATATTGACCTCGCTATGTCTCGCCGGGATCCTCTCATTGTCTTTTGCAAGGGAATTCCGCCGGGTGTTCACTCGCTGTTGTATCCCCCAATCGCAGCGGGTAAAATTATGAACAGCAACAACATACCTATTCATGGCTTCGGTACGAGTGTGTCATCCGGAATTCACGAGGTAGCAAGTTATGGGAGCCGGAGAACCTGAACCTTCACTTGCGACTTCCCGTGAGGCTATTTTTGCTCGCCACCGTTGTCTGCTGCAGTCCTGATCCACTTTCTATCCCGCTCTGCCTGTGGGATGCAAAATACCTACGGTGCAGCCTCGCATGTACAGTGCTGCCTTTCTCAAGGGTTGCCCAGGGATATGACGAAGAAATGTATCCGGGCGACTCTCTGTTCAAGATGTATCTCATCATCACAACTCTGAGATCGCACCAATATCCCTCATGGCCGCGATGGAAAACGTCTACAACTCGAACACTCCAGGTTTACGTTCGGATGACCTCGCCGACTCCGAAGCTGACATATGCATCCGACTCTCGCTGTTTGCTTCCGTTTCGGCGCCCGGCGTTCTTCGACGCCTTGAGCATATGTGACCGCCTGCGGCCGTACTCGGTGTTGTGGCCCATGCGCCTTGGCTAGTAAGTCTGTCGTGATATCCCAATCAAGCGAGGCTGCGAGGGTGATCTACTGTCATCAGGGAATGCTGTAAGGGTGGTCATCTCGTGAGCGGGTCTGTGCGGTATTTCCCAATTGCTCAGAACGAAATTTGACTCTGATTATGACGGCCAGATACGACGTGCCCCCGGTGTAGCGTGTGCCCGGTAGCCAAGCTGTATTTTTTTCCGTACATTCTCTACGCCATTTCCCGTGAAACAGTGTCGGGACTTCTTTTTCGCTATCGGCATTACCCCCAATAAAGTCCCTGGTGTGCTTGCTATCACCACTCCCGATCGCACGCAACCCATGCCTCCGTTGCACGTCTCTTCTGCCGTCGCCGAATCAACGGGTGAGTTATGGGCCCTTGAAACCGCCTCTCACACGCTCGTATCGAGGAACACACACAAGGCTTCTCGAGGGCCATTTCTTCTGTCATGGCTGAATTGTCCGACGTAACAACGTACAGAGTCCAGCGCGCATAGCCTTGATGTTCAGTCAAGCGAATCAATTCGACGTCAAGGAGCTGGTGGGGGTGTTTCGTGTCTCATCTCCGCATGAGCTGAATACCTTGATGTCAGGTTCCTCGCAAAGCCTGTTTGATCTCTGTCATGCCGATGCCGGGAGAGAAGCCTCCTGGACTGTCGGTGTGCCTCAGGTCTCAAAGCGAGCGATGTTTGCTCGTCATTCACACCGACACGCTTCTGCCTGTGATGGCCCTGTCCTTTGGACCACTGAAACCCGGTGTTTATCAAGGCCATAGAGCTTCTCTGAAGTGACACGTCACGGTTCCGGACCGTGGAAAGGGTTCTTTGTTCTGTGGCGGGCTTGCGATTCCGATTCCCCCAGTCAGTGACGAAATTACAGACGAGTTGTGCGCATATTTTTGCTTCCGACTAGAGCAGCATCAATATCATATGCCTTCCTATCTCCGATTGGCATGTCCACATCGAGATTCCGTTCGGAAGTCGGCGATGCTTCAGCCAAGCTCCAGTTGGCCTTCTAGTCGGCCTACTGCTGGCGGTATCAGGCTTTGGATGCGTTTGACGGCTACAACCGCCCGGTTTAATTATTATGTGCTTCATTGTAATCACTGTGTAATATGCGTATATATTGCGGTAGTTTCACGAAACTCTCACGAGCGCATGATACCGCAGCGTTCATGGTGGTATATCCATACACTTGTCAGGATAGCACGCTTCCATACCCACAGCTCCACCTGACGGTATCGGCGATGCCGCGTTTCGCAAGGCGTTCCTGTTGGTCACAAATGCGCAGGCACTTCGTCAAAGGCAGCTGGTCCCATGAATTCCGTTGTTGGTGCGCTAGGGAGAACGGACCACATGGTTTCCCATCGGCCAAAATTTGACGGCACCAATCTGCGGACGCTGTCGCGCGTATGAGCCGCTATGGCTGCCGTTTTGGGGTGGACCCCGGAAGGAGATGTTCAAGCGCCCGAACGACAGGTATTCTGGAATCCGCGTGGCCCCACTTGCCAAAATCCGCCGCATATAGAGCGCTTAAGGGATCCATGCCACCGTTATTGACGCTGCTGACTAGGGAATTAATGCCGACCTGTGCAGCAGGCTACTAACCGCAGTGTCGTGGATACTATCGTCTCCGACGTGCTGGCTGCGCGCACGCTGCGTTTGACAGTTGCGGGGCCCATGTATGACACCCGTTCATACTGTTACCCTCAGTACGGCCGTGGTGCGGTTGCCAGTGATAGCCCGGCAACTATCGTCGCTAAATTACGGCACAGCAAAGGGCGGAGAACGATGTTGGTCGCCGATGGGAATACCGGTCAATGCCAACATCGTTTCTCGGTCATGACAGACTCCTCCGCCGACGCGCCCAGGAGGTGGAGTCATTATTCAGACTTGACGACGCACCGCCCGAGCGTCGCATACATGGGGAGCTAAGTCATTCGTGTCCTCTAGGAAGCGCCAAAAAGAGCTTATCTCGGGCGTATGAGCCATGGCGTGGGCGATCATGGACCGTGGCGTTGATCCCGTGCAAACTACCAAGAGGCTGTACGATCCCGATAGCCCAGGTGATGAATAGGAACTCGAACGCGAAGAAGCGCGAAGCCCAGGAGGGCGGGAGCGAGCTTTGCGCCGGGGCTCGCCGGACGGGTGGTGCGCGAAGCGCACCTTGGGCATCAAACGTTGAGTAGAGCGAGACCAGATATAGTCCGAAGGTCGTCATCCATCATGAATCCTGTGCACAGATGTGATCTACCCCGCAAAAGCCATACGGTCAACTGAGTTCTCACCGCTCAATTGTGGGATCGACATGGACCAGGTCTATCATAGCGAGTGAAGATCGATCGCCTCGAGAAAATGAGTTGTTGCCGTAGTAACGGGGCGCGAAGTCCTCAGGAGGAGAGCACGAAGTCGTTTACTCATTACCCGCAGGTGGTTCCTGAGAGGCCGATAAGCTCAGGAGGTACGAAAACGTTCGTAGATACAAGAGACTGAGGCAACGGCGCAATTATTGAGGTTTGCGTTGCAGATAATCGTATCTCGAGCGTTGGTGGCCATGAGCGGGTGAAAGAAACATGTACGGGAGATCGAGTTTGAGAGAAGAACAGCGAGCACAGAATGTAAATGTGGCTCTGTGCATGTGATCTCATGTGACGTTACGTTGGGTGTGGTGAAGTGTCTGAGTAACGACGCGTCACAGCACTCTGCTTTGTACTCTGCAGCAATAACGATCGCTGCATCGGTCGAGAAACGCACGACCAATGAGCACTACAAACATGGAAGAAGCTGCGACAATCGCAGCAGAGTATATCTCCAGTCAGTGTCCCCATTCACGGTCGTGACCTGTCGTTTCGAATGGTCATGCCCTGAAAAGTGATGGCGGCTTAGAGCTGAGCACGTTATTACCCTGTTAGGCCTCGACAATCTGCCGAGCGAAGTGCAGTTTTTACTGACGGAGATGAGGATCAAAGACTCTCGATCTCAAGGTGAGCAGCAGTACTATTTGCCCTATCGCGCGCCCGCGCCTTCCGTTCTGCCGAACCGATGAATGCTCGGGAGAGGCATTGCCCCTTACGGTATCGCCATTCCTGCCCGATCTCACTCCATCGTAGTGTTGCACCTGAGCCATCTCATGCTGATTCGCATCCGCCGCGCCTCGTATGCACTGGTACTCACAGACCCGTAGAAATTTTGCAAGAGATCCAGAAAGAATCCGCAAAGTACATACGCCACTCGCTCCGCGGCGGAGAACCCAGCCCCAAGGATGCCGCCATCCCCGAGAAGATTAGGCACGATTATGCCGAGGTGGACAGGCTCGCTGCGGAGAAGATGGCGCTCGCGGAGCGCGTTGTGCGCCTCATCGCACGCGCACGCGCGCGGCTGGACGTTGACCTAACGAAGGTGCTTGCTCTCCAGGGCGGGGACGACCCGCGGCAGGTGATGGCGCACAGCGACGCCTCTGCCTATCGTCCAAACCCAGTGGTCGCTCAGATGAACAAGAGCCTCCGCGACGCGTTCAACGACACGTCGCAAGAGTCTTTGCCGGCCTCTCCGTCTGCGTCAGGCTCAGTTTATAGCCTCAAGAGTAAGTCCTATCGGTTGATTCTAATCTAGCATGGGTGCCATGGTTAGGCCGGGCGCTGATATGCCCGTCCCTGGCTCGCTGCGCGCGCTGTTGGGTGGCACCTACGTCGCATCTTTTCCTTGGTCCGCGGGTCCCTGTGCAAGGCACTAGGACACCTGTAGCCAGTCGATGCTCGACGCTTCTTCTCGATGAGCCTGGCGCGGAGCAACGATCGACCCTCTCCAGGGTTCACGAGCACCGTAAAACGATGCATCGAACTCGACCATCATCACTTCCTTGATACTTACGTGATCATCCGGTCTAACCTTCCTCCTCCTTGCATTCTGTTCTTCTTTAACATTACTGACACGACGCTCCTTCCTCGCAGGGCGGAAATTAACCTCAGGCGCCTCGGCCGCCTCCATCAAGCTCCCATCTCCCGCGCCCCCTGCTACGGGCAGCGCCACGCCCACCGCCTCGCGCTCGCGTCTGGCGCACCAGGCGCGGGGGGCGTCCCAGCAGCGAGCGACCCAGCCGGCACGGGCCGCTCCCGGACAGACGCGCCGGCGTCAGCCCGTGTTTACTGACGAGGAGGACGCCGAAGGTGAAGCTGATGACGGCGCTGACGATGCCGAGGGCGAACAGGACGAGGAGGACAAGAACCTGTACTGTTTCTGCCAGAAACAGAGCTACGGCGAGGTACGTCGGTTCGCTCCAGTCTTTCTTTGGTTGCCGAGCAAGATCCATCGCCTCGCGCGAAGCTGGCCATGGGATCTTGGGTTTCTGGTGGCGCGTCCGGCTGTGCAATGTATAACGTCGCGTTATCTTCCTCTGTGCATGGTTTGGCGTCAAGCCAAACTGGGAGAGCGGCTTGCCAGGGCCGCACGAGAGCGACGCTTTTCTGGTTCTATTCTGCGTTTCATTTTGCGTTGTTCCATCTCCCCGTTCAGATATGGCGTGCATGCACAGCATGGGCACCGCCACGCACGAGCGCGGTCACTGGGTTCGTGCTGTGCTTCTTCCCGATGGGCGCGCTCCTCTCGGCGTATATGCGTTTTTGCTCCTGTTCTCGCGTTTCATCTTCGCACGAGCTCTGTACGGTAGCTTACTTGGGCATTTCTCTACCCCGCAGATGATTGGATGCGACTCGGATACGTGCCATTACCAATGGGTACGCGTCTCTCCCTCCGGTTCTCGATTCATTGGAGCTGACCATTTTTCCCGTCGTGGCGCCCTTTTCCTTTCCTTCCCGAAACGCAATTCACTTTGCCGTCGCCGAATTGCCGGTCATTACTCTGTCCTCGGATCACGGACGCGCAGTTTCATCTGGAGTGCGTTGGACTGGAAAAGGCGCCGGCGGAGGGCGAGAGCTGGTTTTGCAGCGCGTGCGTGGAGAGCGGGACTGCGACGCGGTCGATCCAGGCTGCTTCACCGGCCGAGCGAGGGCGGAAGGGAAGGAAGGGCCGATAGACGTAGTCATTCGTCACAGGCACTCGGTATGGACGACGGGTTCCCTACATGTCGATATTGCGCGCGAAGAAGAGGAAGCCGAGCCGGGGGTTCGCTGCGAAATGGAGAGCTGTGACGTTTCAGCGGGACGGGGCGTCGTGGCTAATGTTAAACTCGATGGACAGGTGGGCGGGAGGGCGAGAGTTTCTCGGATCGGTTCTCAATGGGACGGGGGGGTTTCGCGCCCTCCCTTCGAACGGGGAGGCTGTGCGGGAGCATCTCCGGAAGCACGCACGGCTTTAGGACGGGGTGTTGTTGCACACGCTGATAATGACGATACATGCGCCAGGTTTCGAGGGCTGTCGAGGCTGCTCGGCGCGCGTGCGTCGTAGCGTTGGGTAGTACGGATGCTGCTCGTGCTGCTGCCACTTTTGCTGAGAAGCGCTCCGCGGGCGACGAATTGAGCCGCGACGGCGGGTCGAGCACGCGCGACCCACGGGTGTCGGGGTTCGAATGGGCGAGATTTGGACCGACCGGATTGGTAAATTGGGGGGTGCAACTGGGTGCACGTACGTATGCGAGCTTAAGATGCCGAAGGCCGGCAGTCGCCACTGGCAGGGAGCTGCTGCAGACACGTCGTCGGCTGCTGCAGCGCTGCGGTGGGCTGCGTCGCAAGCTGCTGAGGGCTGCAGCAGGAGCCATGGGCGCTGTCGGGCTCGCGAACTGAGATGAGGGCGGGGCACGGTCGTCGACGACGATAAGTGTGGTCTATCGCCATGCGGGCAGCCGGCGGCACGGTGTCGGCGAGGGTGGGCGATGGCGCTGGGGTCGGGTCATGTGCGCGCTGGGTGAGCGCACGGCGGAGGCAGTGGGTGGGCCGCTGAGCTAGGCACGGCTCCCAAGCGAGGGGCTTGCGTCAGTAACAGCCACAGAAGAAGGAGAAGCAGGCGCGCGCTCGGGGAACCTTGTTGCGCTGCCTTGTCGTGGGACGGAGTTTGGTTCCGGCGATGGCCATGGGCTGCTTCCGGGCACCAGGTCCGCCGTCCCGCTCGGCTGGGCAGCGACCCTAGCCCGAACAGGCAGGAGCTGCGCGCGCTGTGATTGGCCGGACCCTGGCGCGCGCACCGCGTTACAAAATAGGCCGGCCCAGCGCGTCTGCACCGTCGACTGTCGCCTTGCAAGCGCACTCTGGTCTCTTGCATTGCTCGCCGTCGCCGTATTCTTATTCCGTCCGTCGCCCCCTCTGCCCGCCCGTCGTCCCCCTGACCGTCCCCACAGTGTATAAACCTCATGGACCCCGTCACGTTTGACTACTACTCGGACTCGTCTGCGCCCCGCACCCCGTCCCCCCGCTCCTCCGTCTCCTCAGAGGGCGTGCCGTCACTGGAAGACATGCACCCGTACCAGCACTCCCCCGCCGCATACAAGCCCTCCTTCGACCTCGATCCCCTCCGCAACATCCTCGCAGACCAGGCCCGCGACGATCCCATGGCCGCCTACCACCCCGCCCACGTCGTCTACGCCGGCAACCGCGGCTCCCTCCTCCAGGAGCTCTACGAGCAGGGCATCCCCGAGGACGCCCCCCACCCCCACCACGACATCTACCTCCCGGCCGCCCAGTCCGCGGAGCCCTACCACGGCAACGAGTGGGCCCGCATGTCCCCGGCCTCCCACCTCGACCACCACCAGACGCTCCCGCCCATGCGCTCCCCGCACGACTACGGCATGGTCCGCAGGAACACGTTCCCGTACGCTCGCCAAGAGCGTCCGGACCACTACCCGGAGCAGGTCCAGTTCCAGGAGCACGGGCCCATGCTCGGCCAGCCCATGTACGGCGAGCCCATGTCCCTCCACGGCTCCCCGCACATGCCCCTCACCGCCGAGCCGGCGGAGATGTACCTCGCCGGTGGCATGCACCCGTCTCCGCACGCGTCCTACCGCGAATTCTGCGACGACGGCGCCGTCAAACTCGAGGAGCCGTCTCAGGTGATCGTGCCCTCCCAAGCTGCGCCCTCCGCCTTCTACCGCCCGCCGAGCCAGCAGGGTCAAGTCGTCGGCATGCACCCGCATCACATGGCGCACGCGCACTCGCTCCCCGTCCCGCCACCGCCGCTTTCTTACCTCTCTCCGCATACCGGCCTGCCCGTCCAGCACACGGATGACGCTGCGAGCAAGGAGACCCAGTACCTCCGCCGCCGGTGCTTCAACTGCCACACCACCGAGCCTCCGAGTTGGCGGCGTTCGACGCTCAACCCGGGCAAGATCGTCTGCAACAAGTGCGGTCTGTACGAGCGCACGCACCTCCGTCCGCGCCCGCTCCGCTTCGATGAGCTCCGTGCGGGCAACAAAGCGCGCAAGGGGTCGAAGGGTGGTGCTGCTGCCGCTGCGGCGCAGCAAAACGGTACCGCGCCTACCAGCCCGAAACGCGCGGTGGTGAAGAAGGAGCCGCGCGAGTACAACGTCGGCGTCCCCGCACCCGCGGCAGAGGGTGGCGCGATGGCCATCTCCCGCCGAAGCTCGATCTCCTCCGCCTCGTCCGCCAGCGGCACCAGCGACTGGGATGACAGCGGTACGTCGTCCCCCGCCCTCGTCGCCGTTTGTTGAACGTGCGACTCATCAAAATCGCCCCTCTCTGCAGTGTCCGTCTATTCGTCTGCGTCCGGTTCGACGCCTCCTAGCGTGTACAGCTCGCCGTCCGCGCCCGCGTTCCACCTCGGCTCTCGCGACTCGCAGTCGGCCAGCCCCACGCCGATGGGCATCCGCCTTCCCGGCGCGCCTCTTTCCGAGATCGCGTCGCTCCAGGGCGAGCAGCAGCAGCAGCAGGCGTACTATGAGCAGACAGTCGAGACGACCCCGACGAAGAGCCCGAACATGTCTCAGGACGTGATGGCCCGGCAGTCGCAGGAACAGACCGCCACCGTCGCATAGACGTTCCATGGGGTTTTACAGCCCGTCCCTCCTTTACGTCTGGCGACCCGAGGCCGCCGTCCGCTCCTTTCCGCACGCACATCAACGACCATTTCTCTCGGCTTCCCACTTATCTATCTCATCCACTCGGAAGGCACCTAGCGCCGCTGATTACTATTTATTGTGCTACATGAAAACGCCACGATCGAGGAGGAGGGGGGGAAGAGCTCGCAGGGAAGGAATATCACCAGCAGGGGAGCACATCCGCACGACCAACGCCGCCCGCGCCTACCAACCTGGAAAAACCGTGTACTGCTACTATCTATATCTCACGCACAACAACCGCTTGGCTTGGTCCCTCCGCACGTATTCTTTATACCACATCATCACCCAGACCACCCGCGCTTTTACTTATATTTATCCCCTTCGTCCTCTGACTTTTCGCCGCCACCACCCCCGCCATGCCAAAAGGTGGTATTTGACGTCGTCGGACTTTGCGCGCTCTATCACCCACACCACATACCACTGCTCCCCTGCAATTGTCGCATCGCCCCCCTTCCCTCTAGGCTCCCTGTTGTATCGCTCCGGTGGGCATCTGATATCCCCTGTAATCGTAGTTGTAGATCTCCGTGGATCCCGCTCCACTGGCAATGGAAACGTATATACATTGCAATGGCACATACAAATGTCATACACACATCTCTCGCTCTCGCGTCCGAGGTCTATGAATAAGGGAATGCGCGGTGGGAGCGAGCCTGTCGAGCAAGGTTATGGCACGGAAGGAGGGAGCTTCGCGCACAGGATGTGGGTGTTCCGGCCACTTCTATGACGGAAGGGGGAACGATTCGTGTTTCAGCTTAACTTGGGAGGCGCCGTTGGACTCTGGCTGGGGGATATGGCGCGATCGGGGTGGGGATGTGTGCCCATGGCCCTGTCCTGCCTGCCTGGCTGGGGATGTGCATATGCCCAGGTGCGGCCCGATGGCGCGTATGACTACCCTCTTGCGCGAGTTGCAGTGCACCCGTGCATTATCGACGCCGCTCTGAGATCTCGTCTGAGTCGTTCCTGCGCCGGTCCTCACTTTCTGCCGGTTGCGAACGAAGGCGGGCGATAACGGGGCGGCCTCGATTGATTTTTTTTTTCCCTTTTCTCTTTGGCGCCCCTTCGCGCAAGGGCGGGGGTGGTACCAGAGCTATTATGGACTCCACTCTGGACCCCCTTCACGGCAGCTCCGGAGTGGACTCGGTTTTGGGTCAGGCGCTCAGGTACCGCAGAAGCCGCCAGGGAGCGGACGTGCGAAGGGACCGCGAAGACGCTTCTGCGTCACCCCGGCCCGTTGCTCGTGCTTTCCCTAAAACGTGCGTAACGTTGTAATCTCCTCATGCGAGTGCTTTGCGTGGCCCTTTCGGTCCCCTTCTGTAGGTTGCGCGATGAACCGAATACGTTCGATAATCACCCTCGGACGGACGCGAAATCCGGCTTTGTTCTGCGTTCGCCCCCTCTCCCTCCCCGCCGCAAGACTCTAAGGAATTCGAGAACGGCGCTAAAAGCAGGTCTGAGCCAGCCCCATAAAAATTCAACCCGGACTTTCTTTTATTATTCTTCATCTTCTCGGCGCCGCGTGTCAGTTTATACTGCCCCGGAAGCGCAACTTGCGATCGTCCCCTTTGCCTTTGTCGCATTCGCCGGCTTCTCGTCCCCCCTCCTCCTGTTTCCATACCGCGAGCTTCCACGTTTGACACCCGCGTGACGGCTCGGGGCTTGACCTGGCTCTGGGACTCCGGGAGACTGGCCTGCGTTGCTCAACGAGCCCGATATGTCTCTGTTGCAGCTGCCGCCTCACTCCCGGACCTAAAACGGCCTTGCTGTCCCCGCTCAGATCCTGGAGGGCTTGGCGCCGACAGCGACAGCGGGAGAGCCCCAAGACCTGCATAAGTATACATACACCTAATTCGTCCCTTCTCTCCCTCAGTGCGCGGGTAGCTCGAACCGCCGTCGCCCATTGCAACGGCCGAAAGAGGCGCCGGTCCCCCTCTTTTTTCTTCCCTACTTTGAACCCTTATCCTGATTCGCCGACATTAAATTCAGTCTGTTTTTTTTTCTCGGCTCTCAACAAAGGGAGGGGCAAACAAGGGGACGATAAGAATAGACAGACTTATCTCCCGAGAATCCAGGACGGACGCGGAGACCGGACGCGTTGACGACGTCACCGCGCACTAGGCCATCCTATCTCGATTCTCGACGAGTCTTTCACGTTTCCGTCCGGTACTGCGTCTTGCCCGCACTCCGCTCCCCCGTGCGCATGCTCTTGGCATGGACAAGTCATGTATCTCAGAAAACGCAAACGAACGCGCATATGCTCATCCCGGACGCTTTGCCAGCCTCTCCCCTTTCAGACGACCGCTTACCCCGAGAAAATATCGATGAAGGGGGGTGGGCAGTCGCTAATACGATAACGCCCCGCCCGTGTCTCGCACGTAACGCCTACGCGCTCGCGCGAGAAGAACGGAAGCTCCAGCAACGCGCACACACGCTCACGCCCATTGAGCGAGCCGACGAACCGCTGCTGCGACTAAACCAAAAATGCGCAGTAATTAACATAACGTGCGGGGCTTCTAGAGGCGAAAAGCCGAGTGGAACGGTTGCACATACTGCTCTGCATAGACCCCGAAGGTGGTGGGGGCAGTCCTTTCCGTGCGGCATTCGCGAAGGCGTCATGACGCGGACGGGCTCAACGGTGGACCCGCGAGAATAGACAAAACGCCACCACGGGCGTCAGTCAAATGAATGCGTACGCGCAATACGACTGAATTATTGGGTCCAAAGGACGGGTATCGTGGCGCTACCGATAAGCCGCTCCTATCCCCGATCCCCCAGTCTCGCTGAACAAGTGGGTCGCGACGTTGACGAGGAGAACATTAGACTGCAAATAATCACGAGGTGCAGCTGCATGGTTCCTTTCTGTCCCTCCCTGGTTCTCCTGCCCACGGACGATGCCGAGCGACGTGCGACTGGGTTCCAAAAGCGAGACTTCTGTGCGAGGATTGGCTTTGCAGGCGTGCGCATCTTGCCATATTCGAGTCCACGACGGTCGGTGGGGAGTCACCTCTCGCGATCGCTTAGAGCGCGGTGACGATCGCTCGCGATCGACTTTCCCTTCGCAGTTTGGTCTGTGCCGGACGCGTGCTCTCGCCGGTCTCTGCGCCATATGCATGTCACGCTACGAGAGTTCGTCCGAGGATTTACTAAGCGAGCGCCTCTGCGCTTCGTCGTCCCTGGCAAACGTGTCACGATGCCCGGCCTCAGCTCGATTCACAGAGGCCGCGACGAGGCGGATACGATACAGCCCGGTTACACATGCAGTTGGAGCGCACGACAACAGGTGTCGCCACTCCCGCTGAGTGCGGTGCAGTGCGGTGCATATATTGGCTAGATAGGGAGGCGCATGGGCATACTAGTACTACTGCTGCAGTACTGCATCGGGTAACCAATTATCAGCGTGCAGCCAAAACGCCACGAAGACGCAACGTTCACGTCGCCGGACCACTATACGGATGGCCCGAAGAGCCCATTCCGAACGTACGCTCGGTCTCCCGAGGCCGCCTCGGCGACGCCACGTCTAGGCATAATGAAAAATGGGAACCTTACTCTGAGATGTGACCCTGAACAGGGCAACACGGTGCTACTCCTCTTGAGATCGGGACGAGGTCTTCGGGAGTATGAGCCCGCCGGAGGAGCCTGTCATGCCTATCGCCCGGACGCACTGGAGTAGGAAGACCCCATGCTCGTCGTGAGCCAGCGCATGGCACCGCGAGCGTACGCCTCGGCCGGGGTCAGTCCAGCGCCCCCGCCGGCATACGGCTCCGCGGAAGCTTTACCGCGCTCCAGTGCCGAGTCCTTCCTAGCCCGGTCCCGATCGCTATCGCGGTCGCGCACCACCGCTCGGGCTGACGCGTTCGAACCGCTCGGGCTGAACGCCCACCTGCCGGCTTTGACTGCCCAGCTCAGCCCGTGCGCAGCCAGTCGCGAGCCGATGTACTGCGCGATGCCCATACCGGGCAGGAGGGTGAGCGCGTCGCGCAAGTCGATCGTGTCGCGGTGGCGCGTGATCCGGCCTGCCTCGTTGAAGGAGAGATGCGAGGTGATCGGAAGAGTGAGGTGCAAGGGCGAAGGAAGGGGTAACGACAGCAGTGCGGGGTCGGAGGGATGCGCGGCGGGTGCATGGCTGGTAATCGAGCTTGGCACGGAGGCGGAGCCAATGGAAAGTGTGGAATCGGAACGGAGACGTCGCCTTTGCTCTGTCGGGGGGTCTGCATAACGCTCTGTGTGCATTCCGGGTAACAGGAGAACGTGTAGAGTGTGCTCTACCATGCAGCGCTTGTGTCCGTCTACAACGTATCGACCAAAGCAGGAAAACGTCAGTTAAGGTGTGCATTGCAACGTCAGGGGCGGCAGTATCCCCACGAAGGCTAGTGCTGGTATGATACGCACCAAAACTCTCAGCCTCCGAGACCTCCTCGACCTCCGTCCACGCTCTGACCGCTCGAAAGAGCACGTGTTCTGGGATGATGGCATCCGGGCTGCTCTCACTGGATATGCCAAGGAGGTGGTACAGCACCGCCAAAGGTCTGGGAACGTCCAAATTTGACAACCGCCGAGTCAAGGCGGAGATGTCGGCGATGAGCGCTCGAGAGGTCGCGGTCAAGAATGGGTTTTCATATCTGTACGGCAGGTAGATATCAGCCTAGGCGTTCCGTAAGGAATCACATCATGGAGGCAGTAAATAGATGAACCTACACTACAGTGCCTCGTCAGCTTGGACCCCGAATGATCATCGTGGCGGGGGGGACATACCCGCGTTGGATTCGTAGAGACGTTCAAGGACATCCCATGAAGGGATATCCGCACTGCCATAGACGATGTCGCACACTTCGAGCGCGGTGCGATTCCTGGAAGAAACTAGGGAACCATCCGATGGCAAAGCCGAATTGCTGGCTATCGGTGCGATGACACTTTGGGGCCTGCTGACGCTGGGGAAGGGAACCGCATTCGTTGCTTGGACGGCCATATATCCACAAACTAGTGCGTGTCCTCTCCGACACGAGTCGTTTGGTTTCGACGAGGAGGAGAACTATCGCAAAGCAGACTTGCAGAGGGGCCGCTGCCCGCATCGGAGGCGCATGACGTCCGGAGCAATGCCAGTGGCACGTGTTTATCATCAGTCAAGGACATCATCTTCTTGCGATCTACAACGATGGATGTGTGTGTCGTCGGCTCTGGAGGTTCTCCGTCCCCGCTCCGCGTAAATCTGAACAGATCGCCTGAAACGCCGTTGCTCTCTAGCTATCGGGACAGTCTATGCATATGCCCTAGAAAAGTCCGGTAGAGCACGGGTAACCGCCGTATGCAGGTTAGTCTGTCATGCACCCACGCTTCCATTGTCGTTCTCGTCTTGTTCTCCGCTGCATTAAGCGCCCCGTGCTCCTTCGGGTGCCATTTAGACCCCTTTCTGATATTCGCCGCCTCGAGGCGAGAGTTGTATTGCCTTTTGTATTCCTCCCGGTTTATGTTTCCCCCCGCGCCTCATTGTTTTCTGGAAGTTCGACCGAGCTCGACTCGCGTAACAAGATTGACTACAACGAACTGGCGGTTTCTTCTTGTTTTGACTTGTACTACTGCGGCCAATGTGCGGTAACACTACTCAATCCCAACTCGCCCGCACAGGTCAAACTATGCACTTCTCACCGGTCGGTGCCACGAACTCTTCAGGTTCATCGCACCTCGCTCATGAGAAAGCGCCGTGCTTTGTGTTGCGAACTGTCTATGAACATCTCGGCTTGACGGCCCTCCAACAATAGACTCGGGCCCAGGCATCGCGTTCCGATCTGAGGCGCTCGGGAACGCGGACGGATGGAAGCCTTACAGAGGTGCGGGTCGCCGTCACGCTCTTCCTCTCAGCCAACTGCAAGTGGAACACAACGCCGGCATACTTTCGCGCGTTTTGCAGCTTTTACCCGGCGCTGCCGGGGCTTTCATCCTTTTCGGGCTAGTTCGACGTTTAATATGGTTCCGGCCAATTTGACCAGCGGAAATATGGCTGACTCTCTACACTTGCGTCCCGCGTCGCAATGGCATTCGCGTTGCGGATACATGCCACCGCTCTGGCGATGGCACGAACTTTGACGGCATCATCGCGGTTTTCTGATTCTCTGCGATAGCTCTGCCTGTCCTTCAGGGTATCAGGATGCGATTTTGGGATGCAACTCTGCGCCCATTCGCTCATGTTCCTGATGCGTATAGTCTACTGTTCCATCCGCGCGCTCGAAATTCTACATCTCGTGTCCGCAGTTGTTCTGCGCTCGGTGTTGCTGTGCCTTTGTTCTATCTCTCGGTCTTCTGAGTTTGATCGTACTCACGCCCACTGATTCCCGCATCCAGCCGTAAAGACGCCGCAAGGCGCCGCAGAACGCGAATACGCCTTCGTTCTGTGTTGCTTCAAGTGAGTTTATCCCTTCGCGCCATGTTCTCGTTGGAACGGGAGAACAGTTTTGCCTTCCACATCCCCGTCACCCGTTGATTGACTGCGCCGATACACATCTCCCTGTTCTATATTGTCAATCGTTCGATTCGACCGGGCTTGTGACCCAACCATACGTTCCAATTACATTGGCGCCGTATCGATTCACCATCACCGTTTATGCTGAATTTCTGCACCACTACAGAGCACTTCCCGACGTGCTGTCCACCCCAGCGCTTCTCGGACCGCTTCTCACCAGAACGCGCACCTTCGTTCTCGTTCAGAACGGCGTAGGTATTCATGACGATTTGCAACGAGTCGTTCCAGGCGCCACCATCATAACGGCCTGTGCATGGATTGATGCGACATTGGTCGCGAATGGGACAAAGCTCCATCAGACCGGCCCTGTGAGCGTTTCGAGCACAAGCTCAATCATGAACTTTACTTTGGACTCATCTCTCCCGATCTCTTCAGGAAAAGCTCTCTTTTGGGTTCCATCCTCCTTCCACCGGCATCTTTACCCAGAGGGTAGCTGGCATCGATCTTGACCATCCCAACGCTTCGGCTGCCAACTTCTCCCGGGCAGATGCCCAAGGGGCTGTGGATCTATTCGCGAGCCTTCTTCGTGCGGGCGGTGCGGATCCGGACCCCACAAATGACATCAACTTCCAGAGATGGAGAAAGGTCCTTTGGTACGGGCTTGCACGCGAGTACGATATATGCGGCTAATTCCAGCGTCCGATCGCACTTAGGAATGCATGTTTCTCGACGCTATGTACGATGTCGAGGGGAAGCATGGCGGATATTATGTCCTCTTCCGTCGAGGCTTACCGCACGACAATACCTGCCGTCCGGGAGATCATGAGGGAGGTGCGGGTGATCCATATCCGGGGCATATGGATTACTACTGACTGACACCTCAACTTAGGTGATATCCGTTGCGTACGCGTACGGAGGCGTTCGCCCCGGAAGTCTCGACGCCGCGCCGGACGCAATCATCGCCGACGCGATCCAGCAGTACGCCGACTTTGACCTGCTCAGGCCGTCCGCTGGGAAGGTTCGGGAGGCACCGAGTAGCTTCAGACCTAGCATGCTTGTCGACCTGGAGGCTGGACGGCCTATAGAAGTGGAAGTCATCGTAGGCAACGTGCTCCGGGCTGTGGCGCGCGGTTCAGCAGGAGAAACGAATGCCGAGTTGAGGCCGGAGGCGGAACTTGGAAATGCCACTGCGGGCGTCGTCAGTACTCCGAGGTGCGTTCAATCGGATCCGTGGACAGCGGCCGACTTCTCTTCACGATGCTCCTGTGCTGCGATACGGATGGGTCAAAGGCTGCATTGACGTCGCGGCGTCCTGCCTAGTGATTCGTTGCCCGGTGCATTTCTCTGCGAGGAGACCATCCTTAATGCGCACTATTCTCGGATATTCGCTTGCTTCTCAGCCTCGCCAATGACCAAGCCAGTGGCGAGGCACGGCCGTGATTACATTCGATACGCGGACACGCTTGCGTGGAATGCGGATGCTGACTTGCTGTTTTGTATTCCTGTGCACGTTACAGGTTAGAGTTGATATACGGCACCCTCAAGGTCATTCAATCGAAGCTGCTGCAAGGCCGGGCATTGTAATGACGTAGGCCGCTGTGCTCGTAGCAATTAGGCTCGGAGTAGGCATGGACCAAGTCAACGGAACGTTCGCCTGTGCATGTGTGTTTGCGATCGTCGATTGCTCCCAAGTTCAAGTGAGTCGAGCTGGGAGGTCCTCGCGGCAGGCCGTGCAGTGGTGATCGAGGGTTAGTCATGGAGAAACTGCACAAGCTATCTATCGTAGATCCTGTACGTCTGACGCGGACGGGCCGCTGGACCGGGCGAGATATTGAGTGCATCATTGCAGCGGTCGATCTCGATTCGCGTGGCCCCGATCGCAAAGGATGTGCTGCGGCTGTGCTGTGGCCGCATTGCCGGGGCCACGCGCCTCGCCTCGTGGCTCTCTTCGTTCTTCGACTCCGATGTCCTTCGAGCATGCTCCGGTCTCGAAAGGTGCGACCCTCGATCGGCCCTGGGCTTTCACCGATGGCGTGACGGACCGTGCTCACCATCTCCGTGCCATCTGTACCAGGGCTTATCCTAGCCTGCGCCGCCGCGTCCCTCGCCGTCGGCGTGGTCGACAAGAAACATTATCTGCACCTCCAGGTTCGGGTTCCTGCCGCGTCAGCTGGATTCGCGCGACGAGAATGACCACTGTTCGATAGCTCATACCGCACATATCTCGCCACCATCAAGTGAGTCTGCCGAACGCATGCCCGAAAGAAGGGGCTGAACCTAAAGTCAGAGTTGAAACGTCGACAGTACTGGCGCCTGTTCGTGCACCACCTGGCGTATGCCAACTCGAGCGAGTTGCTCGTCGCAGAACTGCTGTTTTACAATGTTGGCGTTCAGATTGAAAGGCAATTCGGCAGCGTCAAGTTTGCCGTGAGCGAACGTATTACGTGACCAGGTGATCGTCGTTCTGACGCGGTCCTCGATACAGTCCTTCGCGCTCATCTCGGTGCTCATATCCACCATCCTCGAGTTTCTTGCCCTCCTGCTGTTCTACCGGGCCGGGTTCAACTACATTCCGTCGGGTCCCACCACGCTGGTATTCGCCATTTTCTACCAGTATTATCGTCTGGTCCCTGCCACGTACCAGTTCCGGATCTTCGGTCTTCCGCTGACGAACAAAGTCTATGCTTACATACTGGGTCTCCAGGTGAGGATGGTTAGTTTGACAAGAGTACCGCTTGTGAACGAAATACTGTGCAGTTGGCAATAACACAGCCACCCTCGTCTGTGGCCGTGGCAGCGCTTGGGATCCTCACGGGTGCCATATATCGTTCCGATATAGCCAACTTCAAGGCGTATCGCTTACCGCCATCGGTCGTCGTCGGATTCGCCAAGTACCTGCTACCGCTACTTGGCCCGTCGCCTGTGAGCAGGCGCACAAATCGAGCGTTCCCTGATACGGCCAGGAGGAGTGACGGGCCCGTCGCGCCCGCAACCGCTGAACCAGAGCCCGTGACAACCACCACCGGGGCGCGCGAAAACGCCAATGGACGTACTGCCATTTCTCCAGCTCCAGAGAATACGCCCAGCGCAGCAGAACCCACAACGGAACCCGATACGGGCACCTCTAGGAGTTCGATCATGCGGGAATGGGTAGACGAGTTGACCGGGCGCTCTCAGCGTGCTGTCACGGGCCTTCGCGTTCCCTCAGACACCGAAATAATGCAGGTGGCCAGCATGTTTCCTGACCTCGACCGCCAAGTGGTCGTTACAGCACTTCAGCGCAGGTGCGTTGACCCGCGTTGTGTCTTTTTGAACCCACTTTATCCCCGATTTCCCGCCCTTTCACCTGCCGGGGGATGCTGCTCGCACACGCGCGCCTTGCATATCTATTCCCGTTTTTCGACTGCTTTCGCTTATGCCGTCAGTGCGACTAAATCGCGATCGATCCCAGTGCGAATGCGGAACGCGCGGTTGAGATGCTGTTGACCACGCAGACTTCGTAGTCCGTGTAGGGGATGGACAGGATATCATATTCATCGTTTGAAATACAAGCGCATTCGGCCTCGGCGTTTTCAGCGAGGCTCTTACAGATCGGGTCGAAGATCCCTTGGACGAGCTGCCCGTCACCTTGACGTGCACTCTGAAGCATACCAAGTATAGTTCAACCCATGCTATAGATGACGGTGGCGACAGTTGCGTACTGCTACACGGTGTTACAGAGTGATGGACGCGATGAGACAGCCTACAACACGTAAAAATGCTCAAAAATACCGCGGAATCTTCCTGACGGCCCGAGATTTCTCCCGCATGCGATTACTCAGAGCCCTCCCCATCCAGACCCACCTCAACATCGTCCTCCTCTTCGACGGTGAACGCGTTCATCGGCACGGCGTAGAGCCGGATGACAGGCTATTTGTGACCATGGACGGGATGGTCAGCGAACACTTTCTCAGGTCACGTAAATGGAAGCAGCAAGCCATTTAGGACTGTGAAAAGAAGGTAGGAACAGAGGTGGTATCTCGAGGGACAAACGGGTCCTAGGACAGGGACAGCAAGGGTTCGATAGAAGGTGATGGCAAGGGTGCTATGCCCGCGGCAAAGAAACATGGAACTGACCTTGTTCGGATCCTTTACTAGCACGTATTTGCCCTCGGGCTGCTTCATGCACAAGTCCGTAACCGTGCGTACGATGCCCCATCCATTGGCTAGAGACACGTTCAGCTGCGCCGCAAAATCCGCCGGTCTCATGGAGGCGGTGCTGAGGATGACGTGGCGCGTGTTATCGCGCGGGTTCGCGCGAGAGATGTACCTATTCCGCGGTGACGCTGTGAGAAGGGGTTCGAGGCTACGAAAACGAGGGAAGGGGACACTCACCCTATCTTCATCGTGTCTGCACCGGCGAGAACGCTCTGCACGGTCCACTTCGCGAGCTTGCAGGAGTTGTTCTTCATCTCCGTGGCGACCACGGCACCGCGCTGGGAATCGAGCTTGGAGCGCCAGTCAGGAGCGCCTCCTGCGCCCTGCGCGCGAGGATCGAACTCATTAAGGGCGCGTATGGTCACCAGGCCCTGCCCATCCTTGGGGTTCCCGGTACCAGGCATAAACGCGTCCACCTCTGTGCGAACGCAGATGCGCATATCCTCGTCTTCCTTGACGCTCATATCATAGACGCGGTAGCGGTAGCCGCACGAAGCCAACGGTTCTGTTTCATCTGGACCATAGAAAGGATTGGGCTTGTCAAGTTCCACGGCCTGGTTCTCGGCAACAGCTTGGAAGGCAAAGTTTTGGTTGATGTAGGTTGCTTCCAGCGACAGGGATGTTGCAGAATTCATAGATGGCACTTCTGGCACCGCGTTTTTGTCGTTTGGGTTCGGAGGCTGAGGGTCTTGCGGCGGATCCGCTGCATTTTCGTTAACGGTCACGGTGTCAAAGGGACCGCCGTCACGTTTGTCGAAGTAGAGCTTGTTGCCTTCCCTGACGATGACGATGTCCCAGGGGTATACAGACCGCGGTGCAGTCATAAGGACACTGAGGATGACATCGGTTGTATACACCTCCGCAGCATCTTGGCTCGCCAACTGGGAAATTATGAGCAATTGCCTTCGGAGAAAAAGGCCAGCATACCTGCTGAATGACCGGATCGTCGGAGGTAGTCGTGTTGTATTTGATGCGGTCCACCAGCTGCAAGGGCTTTTCGTTTTTGGTGTTGATGCGATCGTAGGACTTGTCGTACGCAAACAAGCGTCCGCAGTTCTCGCTGCGAACGCAAAGGATGAAGGATCGTGACTTTTTTGGAAAACCAGAGCGACGTACACATCGTCTGGAGTATCGACGTCCAGTCTTAGTTTGGAGAGTCGGATGAACTCGATCTCCTCCAGCATCGCCCATTCGGGGGAGATTATCACGGATCCCTCCCGTGCGCGGCCCTGTTATGCAAATTGATACGCCTTATCCAAATCTGCTTGGATAACTCTAACGTACTTTGTCCCAGTCTCTCCATCCCCTACGACCACCGCGTTGACCTCCACCGCCTCGACCAGCGTTGAATCCTGTGCGAGCACCTCTCTGCATATTCCTGTTGAACCCTCCACGCATGTTCGTCTTTCCCCTGGACATAGCTCCGCCACGACGAGCAGTACCAGCGGTGTTTGCTACGACAGAAAAGCTCGATTCATCTTCAACATGGAAATACGCGAATGCATTCGCGGTGCCGCTGCCGAATGCAGCAGGCTGCTGCCTGCCACCGCGCCCGGTGCGTGGGCCAGTCTGACCAGAAGCTACACCGGTCGCTTGACGGTTGTCGCTCGAGGTGTCGTTCCAATCCGCAAACCGACCGAGCTTATCGGATTTGGAGTACGGAGCATATGGTATGTCCTTGAACTTGAACTGGGCGGGAAAGTTAGACGAGGACGGTCCCCATCCGCCGTCGGGATTGTCGTTTATCGGAGGAAGTTCGAAGGAGGCCATGGTCGTAGAGCAAGACGAACGGCGAACAAACTTTTCATTGCAATCCCCGCACCGCATGTCATCCGCGTGACTTGCCTCTTGCTCCCGTCCAACGATGAAGTTGGTACGGTCGGTCTTACCCTTTGGCCTGCATGCTCACATACTTTTGTGTAACAGTGTTGTTCGGGAGATCAACAAAATCAACCAGCGCGAGTTAGATCTCGGGCTGAGCGGTGCGTCGTGGCATGACGAGTACAAAGGTCTATCAGTTGGAATTTCCTCGACCGCGCAGTTACTGACACGGATTCTGCCTAGATTCTGCCTACATCTACATAGGCGGCCTCAACTACGAACTAACGGAGGGTGATATTATCACTATATTCTCTCAGTACGTATTACTAACACAGTGCTTGGTTCATGTCTGATGTTTGTGATCCTCAGGTATGGGGAACCATTGGATGTCAATCTTGTTCGAGATAAGGAAACAGGGAAAAGCAAGGGCTTTGCCTTCCTCATGTACGAGGACCAGAGATCCACGGTTTTGGCGGTAGACAACCTGAACGGGGCTCAGGTTTTGAACCGCACTCTCAGAGTAGACCACGTCCGAGACTATAAACAGAAAAAGGTCAAGGGCGAGGACGGCGAATTAGTGGATCCTGAGGAGCAGAGCTTAAACGCGAAGCCGGAGTTGATCGTCGGTATGTTACCGTAGCACAAAATCGGTTGACTACTCACGCCGAGGTCCTACTTAGATCATGACGCTTCATCCGAGTCCTCAGTGTCGTCCGGCCCGGAAATCGATCCCGAGGATCCCATGTACGAGTACCTCGTCGCTCAGCGCAGGGAAGAGAAAACAAAGAAGAAAGCAAAGAAGGCAAAAGGTAAATCTAAGCACAAAGACGAGACGCCGGAGGAACGACGCGCTCGAAAAGAGCGCAAGCGCGCCAAGAAAGCACGCAAGCAGCTGGGGAAGTCCGATGCTCTCAAGGGCGTAGAGGAGTTGTTGCAGGACCTCGATCGACGTGGCCGCGCCCCTCCACGAGACGATGTGGATGAAGATACTCGCAGCCGCCGCCCCAGGGATCGGGAGGCACCGGCCCGTTTGCATTCCAGATCGCGATCACAGAGCCCTTCGTACCGTCCCTCGAAAAGAAGACGTAGCCCGTCTTCGCAGCCGCAACTCTCAAACGAGCGATCGTTGAACGAGCCCAGGGAACGCCGATAGCCATCTTCCTGGACACCTTGCTCTGATACCGTGCCTCGGCAGCCTCTCGCCCCTGCACAGATTTATGTCGTGCCTGCGTTAGTTCCTTGTCCGTCTTGCTGGTTATTCGTGATCCGACGATGCGATACCCCACAACGTAGCTATGAGAAATCTATCGACTGTGCATCTATATTGACACCATGTAGCAGGGAGGAAACGGTGTTCAAGCACGAGGCTTGGTGCCTCGAGCTCCCTGAACTGCTTCCAAATTTATATTGTATCAGAGTATTGGTGTGATTCTCCCAAAACATGTCCTGCTTCGTTCCCCGCTGCATAGCATCCCTCATGTCATCTCCGCGTCGTCCGGGATGGCGTCTTTATGCGACGTCGCGAATCTCACTCAATCTGGTGCATGGTAGGCAGTTGGATGCACCGATGGACTACGGCGACCAATCTATACCCGTCACCCAGGAAGAGGTTGATAAAGAGGGCACCCTCGATTGCTGAAACCATCGGGACAAAACCCGAAGGAGAGTCAATAGCTTGTCTCATAGCCTTCGGGGGACCGTATTGCCGTCATAGGGTTCAAGACGTCGAGCAACATCATGAGAACACACTCCCGAAGCACGATAGTGGTAACTGGAATCCTTGTCGCGGTGCAAATAGTCTCAGCAGCCTCGCAGAGTACGAAGAAGGGAGGATCAGGGACCCGCATAGGTTTAACCCTGCCCATTTCCCGATACTGTCTTCAGCGTTGCATTGCGCACGCTGCCGTGACGTTGTGAACTAACTGCGAACAAAACGAATGAGGGTAAAGAAGGCTGTGTGCACCTTATCAGCGATGGTCCGTGACAGACGTCCAGGAACATGACGGAACTGGTGAGATTGCGAGTCTGACGGATCGTGCGTAGGTGTCGGTATGTATGTACCAGGGAATCCAAATTTGCGTTTCCCTGGACGATGTCATACCTGCTCCAACTTCGATCATATCTGCAGTAGGTAGATTGCCGACGAGGTCCCGGTATCGGAACAGCCGGTTGCTGCGCTGCACGTTGCAGGAATTCGACTGATCCAGGTGAGACAGTGATTCTGGTTATCTGCGGCCACAAGAGTCTAGTACGGACTTACGGTGGGCATCCTTCACGCGATCAAGGGGGAAGAAGGAGCCTGTACCCGTCAAGTCCCTGGCAACACTTGGAGCGGCGGACACCTAATTCGTAAGCCGCACTATCTCCTTGAAGTTGTTGTGCGTTCCTGGGGAACCTGTTTTGTATGACACCACAGTTTGAATCGCGGTCAGGCAGTCGATGACATGAGCTCCATGTGCCTACAGTTGGAGACAACGCCTGACTCCGACAGAAGGGCCGGGGTATCGCCGCAGCTTGCCTGAAGGCAAGTTTCTGGACATGACGTGAGAGGCCTCTAGGATACCTGCAGAAGGTGACAGGTGCTACCTACCGCGGACCCACCATAAGCCAGTTCGGTCTGGCCAGTAAAAGGAGGAATCAGATCTCAGAGTTGTCAGATGCGCGACGGCGGGCGGAAGGTCGCCTAGTATTTCTGGGATGAGGTATACATAACGTCAAGGTAGAGCTACGAACATGTCAGAAATGTCATGAGAGGACACAGCAAGAACGTTACCTTATGCTCGAGATTACCCGGAACGTCAAGCGTTCGCACATCCAAGGACTACAGATTAAGGCAAGTAGCGCCAAGTACTTGCCTTAGCATAGTGCAAGATGCACATGTCATGCGTAAAGGCTTGTCGGGATTCGGGTGCGCCGGGCAGCATGACTCGAATATCAGAATAACTGATTGTGCAAGAGAGGAATCCGATTGTCCGCAATTAGCGTCTATGCCATGGATGACAATCATATTCTCCTAGCAGGCATGGGCCAACACGGTGTACATTCATTGCAACGCCGCTACCCGTTTCTTGAGTCTCTCGAGCTCCTTTTCCTTGTCGATGAGAATTCCTCTCCATTTGTCTTGCTCAGCAACAAGGGTCCTGCGCGCGTTCGCCAATCGTTCGTGTTCCTCCGGTTCCATCGTCGCCACGAACTCCGGTACGCCTTCCTTGCTGGCATCGAGCGATTCCTGCGTTGCATGATTGGAGTGAAACGGCACAGACCTCCCCGATCGCTTGGCTTTCGGAAGTGGTGTGGGTGGGTGAGCCATGAGGGTATTGAGAAACGACTGAAATGGATCAATGAAGACGATTTCATCGTATTGCCAAGAGTGGACCGGGCCTGCTTTGACGGCTTCCTCGTACGGGGGAATCTGATTGTGCGTCGCTGGGTCGAGCGTCCAAGGGTGAAGTTTCAGGTGATGGTACATGATCAATGCTTTTTCACCGGAGTCTGGCACGAAGGTGATTCGAATCTGGATTTCGAACTCGCCCCAGCCGGTCTCTGTCAGCTCAAAGGGAGCCTTGTCGACATCTAAGGGTCATAAATAGTCAAAATGGGGCATAGCAGGAGCGGCGTCCATGCTGACTTCTGTTGGGGTTGGCATATGTGTCGTGCAGCTTGAACGTTACCCTCTTGATGAAATATGACAAGTCGTCAGCACCGCCGACGATGCCAGAGTCCGGGTTAGAAGCAGCACTCCGAACTGCAACCGTCCAGCGATGCGTGTGGTGCGGGTTCCCCGATGACCGTTCCTCCGGTTTAATGAGAACTGCTGTGTTTCCATAGATTATAGGCCGGTAAATGCTGACTCCCTGAGCGAGATGATCAGTCTTTCCCAGCCAACCGTCGAGAGAAATGGACAGAGCCAGACGGACCCGGACCCGGACACGTTCGGCTGAGCTCATGATCGGGTGGCGGGAAAACTCGCTTGCTCTCAACCACAACCAGCCATACCCGTTGTCTACCAGCCATGCTCAACCGACTCGTCTACAGTGAGTGGGCACAATCCTACAGACGCAATGCGTTCTTGAGTGAGAGCTACGCGTAGAGCCCAACCGAATCCTTGAGAAGCAGAAGTTCTTCCAGGTATGTATGAACCCCCTTGACGTGAGACTTGAGCTGACCACATTCTATACCCACAGGCTGCTGAGGGTCCCATTTACCGTCGTCTGCCCAGGGCAAGCTTATACCTCAGTAGGATGACTTCCTCCTCAACCCAGCAATGTAGAACTGATGTCGCTACAGACGTTACGTTGGCCGGCTTTGCTCTCGGATCAGTAGGCTCGCTATACGGGATATACAAGTTGATTGCGGTGAGGAACATGAGTCTTTCAAGTCGGCATGACGTTGATATATCTGGCATAGGGCGAGTCCAAGGAATGAATCATATCACCGTCGTAGTCTAGAACGCGAAATGTCATTCCTTGCCTGACATTATCCCCGTGAACGGCACCCGACAAGGACGACACCTTCGTAAGTCGAGACGTCGGCGACGTCGTTCCTTCGGTGCTAGTGCCATGGGGCCCATCCGGGATACATTTTTGCCTGAAAATCGAACCGTCATTGCATTAGTGGCCCCTATGCTCGAGATCGGCGAACGCACAAGGTTTGCCAAGTCGGTCGATTCCTGGATGAGCATTTGCACAAGATTGCTCGTGGATACTTCCCTCTCACTTCGCTCGCGTTCTTTGTTCGTGGCGTAGATCCCCTTCAGCTTTTTCTCGATCGGATACAGCGAACTCTTCGCGAGTTGGCGGAGATCTGTCGATGAGCGCACACTGTTAGTGGCGTGCCGTTGAACGTGTTCCTACTTCAGGTTGTGAGACCGATGAAGGACTCGTGCAACTGGTTACTTGCCCGTTTCCGACTTTCATCCTCCCATTCGACCAGAGGGTCATGAATGAAGGCGTCGAGTACGCTCATTAGGGTGTCTTTATTATCGCGCAAAAGTTGCATGGTGGCTTCAGCCGCAATACGGAAGACGCCTGCACCACATTTACTTGCTGTTTGGTGACGAATAGCCTGCTCGTACCTTCAACGCCAGTGACACCCAATCCATCCACCAGATTATGAGTCAGTCTGAAAGGAACGCGCTCCGGCGTATCCAGTGTTTTACCCTACGTCTGTGTGAAGGCTGTTGGGAACACCGTATAAGACTTGTTGATCATACCTTCTCGAAAAGACAGTTGAAATCAACATGAACTATGTCTCCGGTATTTGAATCAAGCAGAATGTTTTCGCAGTGTCGATCTCCAAGACTACCCATCATTCAGCGGTATGAGCAACCAACGTACGGAAAACTGAACTGACCCGAGTATAAATCCCACCATTGACATGACCGCCGCCGTGCGTCCGTAAGTCAGTCGACTTGCAAGCCAGGCAGAAGGCTCCGGAAAGGTCTCGAGGAACCACTCATGGAAGACAGGCGGGAACCTTTTACATACACGTCAACTAGGAGTTAGCAGTGAGAGTGATAACTTACTGAGGGATCACTTCCTGAGCAAAGATTTGGGCTGCTTCCTTGTCCTTCGCGTCCTTGATCCGGGCAAAAGATTGGCCCATTTCATTGTTCTGGAAACGTGCCAATCAGGACTAGGACGTGGTCCCGTTTGATGTTGATTCGCATACCCAAGATCGAACGCCACGGGCATCGTAATATTTTACGAGAACGGCACGCAGGGGTATTGTATTCGGAACCCATTGGATGAAGCCACATTCTTCGTTCAAAGTCACTACACCATAAGTCCGTATATCTGATACGGCGCTTCAGCGGTCAGCTCATCATATAATGCAGGTACGCACGAAGTTGTCTTCGACGGGATTCAGAATTCGACTTGAGTAGCTTGTTGATGATGGAATTGAAGTCCATGAGTCTGGCATCCTTGCGTAGATCATCTTTTGGCTTCCCTAAGAACATGTAGGTAGTCCCGTTGTCCCCGAGAATGGATATTTTCCTCGGCTTCGCCAAGGAGCGCATGACCTCAATCTCATCATGAAACTCTTCAGGAAGTCAGTTTAGGATCGTCACATGTTGATCAAAGCCCCACCTTGGAAAGCTGGAGTATTGACAGGAAACGGCTGGTGATCTGCTGATGATAATGATGTTGGAGGAAGGCTGGCAGTCAGAGATTCTTGGAGGGGTATGATAAGGCGTGATGGCGCGAGATTGTACAGCCGAGGAAAATCCCGACGCATGCTGAGAATCTTCTTGTCATCCTTCAATTTGAAGTCGCAAAGCCGGAGCAGCTCATGTGTCATCGAGACACTCTCGTTTATGAGCAACGGAACAACACTTTGATGATTCTTCGGGTTGTTCTAAATCTGGGATTAGCGGAAATGACTCTGCCAACGATGGAGGGATGTTTCATACTCGTAGTCGGTTCAAGATATCTTGGCCTCGCTGTCGGCGAATTTCCTTGGTCGACTTCACAACTGCAGCAAACAACCAAAGAGCCTGACGCGGATATTCTTGAATGACCAAAGCGATGAGTTTTGAAAGTAAGACGTAGACGCTGTCGTTACTATGGCCTACACGGGATACGATCTGCGGGAAGGCCGTATACCACTTCAAACGTTGCGTTTAATGTTAAAAGGATCAACGACGGCGCGAGACCATACCTTATATACTGGTATATGTTTCAGGGAGCTGGACACATCTCGGATGATTTTGTCAAACCACTCGGTATCTTTGGTATTTGGATCTTCGCCGGTGTCAAGCCACAGCGTGAGCAAGCGAGGCACCGCTTGGTATACAAATTTGGACCCGAAACGTATGGCCTTGATGAAATTTTTGACCGTCTGAACAGCCATTCTGATCCCTCTGCAAGTGTCCTCTCAATGCATGTGCAAAGAGCGATAAAGAACACAAACCTTCTAACTTTATCGGATTCGGATAGTCTTTTGTAACATTCGTCATAGAAGCGTCCAAGGTGAAAATAACCGCTCTCCCATCTGGCATAAGTAAACATCAGCGCCTTCTTACACAGTCTTCCACTCACTCTTGCGAAACCTTCACTGCTTTTTGGAAAGCATCGAGTACAAGGGAAAAATCGAAACGGTCTGACTCGTTCAACCAGCGCGCTCGCAGAACCATCGCCTGTGGGTTGAATAAGCCGAGACGTAAGGAGTGGGGAGCTTGAAGACCTTTGCACGGATCAGTCGATCATCCTCTTCCTCTTCCACGTCAATGACATCGTCTCCGAGGAAGCCGTTAGCGCGCATTGAATGCTCTAGCTCTTGAAGAGCGCGAAGGGGTTCCCCCGTGGCCCTGAGAAGCCTCGCGCTCTCGATGAATGGGAATGTCCCCTTCTGTTGTTGGGCCTGTAGAATCGCACTATAGGCAGTTTGCCAATGTCCGGCTTTACGTGCATTCTTCGCCGTAGTCAGCCACGACCGCGAAACTTCCCTATGAGATGTCGAGGTGGAGGTTCTATACGCCAGCGGTCAGCCAGTATACTGTATTATTGCTGTCAACCCACAGAAAGCGCATGGCAGTCCGGCGAAGGCTGAGAATAGGTTCCCGCGTTCGAAAATTGGGCAGAGTTGACTCTAAGCGGGCGTCGAATGTCCGCGAAAGTTCCGTAAACACGTCCGGAGTCTGGACGTCGCCCTGGTGGGATGGTGACAAACGCCTCACGACCTGGCTGAATATGTCTAGCTCATGTAGGAGATGTAAGTTTATGACCGCATCGTATGAGCGCCGGTAACTGTTGGCTCCCGCTGCGGTAATCGAATGACCAAGTGACATCCTAGCGTCAGAGAGAGCGCGGGAAACTTCCTCTTCATCTTCGGACTGCATGGACAGAAGAACGCGAGCCAGGGAAACAGAAGCGGTCCTTGTCGAGGATGTCCCATCGAGTAACGCCTGTATATCAGTCCAGTCGCCCACCATCCAGGAACTCTCCGCTTGGAAGTCTGCCAATTCGGATTGCCAGCCGGGATTTCGGGTTAGAACGCCCTTCACGTGTGTTCGCAAAGTGTCTTGTGAAGGTGTCGATTATGTTAGCTCCAAATGCCAGGCGTTGTCAAAGAGACGACTCACCGTAGTGGCCAAGGTTCCTGAGACATCTCATCAATCCCAAGTGGAAGTCCAGGTTATCTGGAGATTGCTGTAGCCGTACTTCCCAACAGCTCTGAGCCGACGTCCAACGCCCAGTACTCTCGTGCTGCCTGATCTGGTGTTCTAAGGAAGGTGAAATAATCAGAGTGGATATGCCTTCCATCCCATCTGGTTCTTCAAGGTGTGAGTATATCTGATGAAGACGTTCGTAGTATTCCTGAAGGTTAGAGTCCGACGACCGCTGTTGCAGGGTTACGATGCGCTTTTCGAAGTTCATCAGTGCCAGCGCGTATGCTTTACACTGTAGGGCAGCCTGGCCCATCAGATCTTGGTCTATGGTGGACAGTATGGAGTCAACGCGCAGAAGCTGCTCCTCAGCCTCGCTTGTCATGTTGCTAGTCCGAGACCGTCGTGAGTCGGCTTTTGTCTTGCTGACATCTTGGCGAACGTGTCGAACCCATTTGTTGAGGTGATCCATCAGCATGAATACGGTCTGTTGATGGATGAGCTGCATTGCTCCTTCCCATACATTGTGAACTATTCATACCTGGGCGCTCAGAAGCTTCTTTTCGGGAGTAGATGTATTGTCGGCCTTGACCTGGTCTTCCAGCACAGCGATCATCTCCAAACGGATCTTATCTGCCTCGACATGGTCTCCAGAAATGATGATATTGAGCACTAGATGGGGGAGTAACTGGCGGGCAACGCCGACATCCTTGTTCCGCACCACAGCTCTGAATACCCCGAATATCGTCTCTGCGCGTTGGCCGGAGCATCGAGTGATAAGATACGCTGTCCATAGCTGAATCCACTCTCGATAGGTAGTTTGGGAGGGATATATTGGATGTGGCATGTCTGGTAGGACCTTGTTCTTCAGAGTGAAGCGAGCTCCAAGAAGCGGAGTCACTGTCTCGACAACGTGTTTCGGCAAGCTGCTCCATGCTTTGCGTGTCTTTAGGCTGACGGACGACGAGTGACCAGGAGTTACGAGTGTCGTGTTGAACTTGCAAAATTGAAGCAACTCCTGTATAGCATAGCCCAGGAGGCTTTGGTATTGGATCTCGCTTGTGGAGCGGAACGCCCCTACTAGCACGTCCTGGATCAGATGGATGGCAAACAGAACAGATTCGTCCTCATCGGCAAAATTGTTGAGTACGATCATCGTTGTCTCGCCAGTCCCCACGTCCACTCGGTCTGGATCTAATGCACCCAATGCACCTATGCATTCATAAGCGAGCAGATGGAGCTCTTCCACATCCTCGCCATCGCGTGAGGCGGCAGACATCAGAGCCGTCATGAGCTGCCCGACGAGCGGATCAAACATGTCTCCGGAAGCGAGTTTGCCGCAGAAGTCGGGTTCGTGCTCAAGCATGAATACGCGAAGTTCGTGGAGGGACTGGAGTGCCACTGTGAGATTCTCGCTGGAAGACCGCTGAATTATATGAGCTAGACGATCGGACGGAGTTAGGCGACTTCGCCAGGCGGCCAGACTGTTATGAACGTGTTCCAGTTCAGGTAGCATCCGCAAGTCCACCATGTCGTCCAAATGGTCTCCGATTTGTTCACCCACATCAAGAACGATGTATGACAGACACTGAGCAGCCGTTGTCCGAGCGGATTCTGATAATGTAGCCCATACTGCAACGACAGCTGCCGATGTTGGCCCGACGTGCGGTCCCAGGTCTTGGGGTGCTAGAGTGTGTATAAAGATGCGCCAGCTATCGATGGTCGACTCAGCAAGTACTCGAACAAGGATCGATGTTTGCAGCGTCGCCATGATCTCGAAAGGGCTTTCAGCGAAAACAGGTAGGGAAAAAAACCATGTGACAATCACCTGAGGTGCAATGCTGCTAATCGCAGGACCGACATAGGAAATGAAGGCCCCAAGGGCACGGAGGACGCCCTGCTTGGTCGTGGTGGACTTCTTTCCCTGTACGTCCTGAAGCAGATCATTCATATAGGAGATTATCCCTAACATATTATCGCGCAAGAGGTCTCCGATAGTCTGGGGTTCATCCTGCCGACGAGAAGGCTTCAGCGTCTCCAGGGTCTGTCCAACCTTCTGTAACGCCTCGACAGCCTTCAAGGTGTTTCAGTGCGTTTCAAAATAGAATGATATAATTCCTCTTACCGATTCTGCGCGGTCCGGATCCGCATCACCCAGAACTACAACGAGCTCGGCGATCAACTGCATACTGCAACTCTTCACGACATCTCGCAGGTTAATAGTTTCACCACCCGCGGCGTCCTTAAGAACCCTCAATACGAATTCCAGCGCTCGATTGGTCTGAACGGGGCCGCGAAGGAGATAGATGTAAGCCAGAATGGAGTGTTGCAGGTCTCCGAGGAACAACGAGGAAGGTTTTCGTCCTGTGGCTTCCCCAACTTTCTCCAGAACGCGCAAATCACCCTTAGCAAATATTGGTGGCAGCGTGAAAGCAAGGGTGGACGCAATGAGACTTCCAGGCGTCGTGAGGAGAAAACGACATGTTTCGACAATCAGGCTGGGGTCAGTGCAAATACGAGAAACCAGCATCGGTGCGATCCGGGACTGATACGGAGCGACTAGCTTGTATTGAGTCGTGTTATGGCACTTGGCTAGAACTTGCAACTGAAGAGATCGTGAGGATGTGTGCACGAGGACATCAACAGCGCACTTACTTGCGTATATGCTGTACCTTTTAATACAGGGTTCTGTCTTCCGAGAAGTGATATGAGCAGGCTAAGCACTCTACCAAGAAGCGATCGTTCGACCACCCTACTTCATCACTCAGCATCGTCCCTAATTCTTCAAAAAACGGGCGCATACCTTCCCAAAACACCGACGGAGATCGCTATGCTTTCTTTCGTGTGCTCCTTTCCATTATCCAGCATTTGGGACAATGCAGCGAAAATGCCATCTACGTCCTTGCTGTTGCTGAGACCAGCCGCCTGATATACCCGGCATACTTCGACCAGAGCTCGTCTGCGGAACCTATCAGCAAGGAGAGTCAAGATAAAATTTGGGCTGTCGTACCCAGCAGCAAGCCGCACGGATCGTTCAGTGTCGTCCATGTAATTAAGAATCAATCTTGTGACGCGTTTAAGGGAGCTGTCGGTAGGATCAAGAGGATGGTGCCTGATACTGAGTTTCAATAGATCACAAAACCGGGCGCGGACTTTCGCAGCATCGCGGGGCTCAAGACCTTTCAGCAGCAGAGGAGCCAGGTCGAAATAAGTATCCAGAGAGGAGACGTTAGGCGCCCCTGCCCCGAGATTGCAAGGTTGCACGCCTGCATGGGCGATGAGGCATGCGAAGCTCCCGAGTTGCTCGACAATCACCAAACGCCCAGTTACTGAGTCATCAGTCATGGGCCTTGAGAACTGAGTGAGCACCGCAGAATCGTTGAAAGGCTGGCGATATCACCAACCTGGAAAACCGCTCCTTAATATCGCACAAGGCCCTCAATGCATACTCGGAATCAGTAGAGGGTAGTTCGTCCTCCATCCAGGAGACTTCATCGGGGGCAATAATGATTGCCAGATCCGACTTCAGATGCCTGCGCCACGACGTTGCATCTGGCAGGGAATTCTCCAATGGCTTGCTGCCTGACAGTGACACGTTCACACCCTCTACCAACATGAGACGCTGTTCAATAGACTGAACTAATGCCAGAGACTTGTCGACGAATGGATCTTTCGTGATTTGATCCCGAATTAACCCGAGTGTGTCCTTCCCGAGTGTATTGACAGTGGCAGCTAGGTATGTCATAACCAGAGCCTGAAAGGTAAGTAATAAGAACGTGACGACAAAGAACCGACAGGATACCAACCTGTAACGAGGCATCGTCATCTGTCCACTCCCTCCTAGCCATCGTTTGAACTATCCATAGCACGTCAGACTGTGTTCCCGGCGAATACGACGCTGATTGCAAGACAGTATTGAGGCGATCGTCAATGCTCTCTTGACCGGAGAAACTTCCTTGTCGTAGCCGCCGCACTAGCCACATTGTTAATAAGGACTGCTCGTAATTCCGTGATCCCAGCATGCCACAATCAATGCCGACGACGCTGACTGCAATTTTGCAAGACAGATGCATCCTTCTCTCCAGGGGAATGTTGACAGTGGGATCAAAGAGGAGGTCGAATGCCTTCCGTGAGACAATCATAGCCCGCTGCCTAAGGTCGCCAAAGTACCACTGGCATAACAAAGGTGGGGAGAGCGTTTTCACCACAATCTCAAAGGCCGACATAGCTACAGCAAGCATCCGCGCTTCCGAAGAAACCAGCAGGGTATGCCACGGACTCCCACTCGGCTGTTTTGTATTAGACAGAGCATCACAATCAATCGATCAACATACCGTGCCGTCCAGTTCAGCAAGGCGGATAAGGGGTCTTCCATTGAACATATTCACATTGAAGCAATCGTTGTTCGAAAACGTTAGCGGTAACGTCTCTGGAGAGGCGGCGGTCAGTATCCTGGTCATAGAAATCGAACTTGGACGAACCTTCGACAAGGTCCAAGCATTCTGTTACAATTGTCTTGAGAGTCTTCCAAGCAGGTCCATCGGATCTGCCTGTGACGGCCATGTTCCCTCCCAAGCACCTTGTTACAGCGATGACAACCGCGAAAGTTCTCTCATTGAGTTCGCTTGGCGAGATTGCGCTTTGCCCCTGCGGCATATCGGCTTCCACCCACTGGTCCAAAATGTTGCAAAGCTTGAAGAGCCCAACGAAAACCCGCATCGAAAACGACGAGCAGCTGAAAAAGGGTGGTGCAGCATCGGCCGTGCCCGTAATACAAAGCAGAGCATCGAGTGCAGTCTGTGTAATCTTGACCTTCTCATGGAGAGCGTCCCAGGGCAGTTCGGCTGGTGTTGGGAACGACGCCATGTGCTCGTCCGCGAGGCTCCGGATGACGTCCCTCCATAATTCTGGTTTCTCACTGAAGGCCAGCGGGTATTCAGACAGTGTACTCTGAAAAGTGTCCATGAAGGACAATAGTGACGCTGGTGTAGCTTCTCCCCCGACGTTAGCGAACACAGGGAGAGGGAGTCGAGTCGGCATGGCAAGCCTGTGTGGTTGGGGATGACTTCGTTAGATACAAATATCTGACACTCCCTCCTTCAGATTGTGCTGTTTTGTAGCTCCAGTGCGAGGCTAGAATACGGTATGCAGAGGTCAAAGGTGGTGAAGCAGACAGAGCCTTTGTGGCTCAGGCCAAGTCGCGTACGACGCGTGCCACAACGCGTCTTTGTTCTCCTAAGACTCTTAGTTTACGGTCACGCGTCCGGTGCCGCTATGCTTGCCAGCTGTGCCAGGCTTGCACATCACGGAAAGCCAGCCAGCCGACGGATACTCAGGGAGGCAGCTGCCGAGGACAAGAGATGGCCAGGCTGGGAGGTGGTCGTGGGGATAGAGGTCCATGCACAAATCAAGTCTAGGAGAAAACTATTCTCGGGTCAGTTTACTCGCTCCGATGTCGAGTAAGTATACGTTGTGGGCGAAGGCCCTGACAGACCCCTACAGGTTCACTGGCTTCGGAGCACGAAGCTTCACCCAATATGCATGTCTCCGCTTATGATGCTGCGTTTCCTGGAACGTTACCGGTGCGATGCCCCATTGTATGGATGGGCAAGATCCATACTGACTATGGCTACTCACAGAGACTGAATCCGACGTGTCTGAATATGGCCATTAGGACGGCACTGGCTCTAAACTCGAATGTGCAAACTCGCTCTTCGTTCGACCGCAAGCATTATTTCTACTCGGATCTTCCCTCCGGGTATCAAATAACTCAACACTATTGTGCGTACAAGCACCTTGGCCTCATCACTTGTCCTGGCTGAGAGCCTGATAGCGCCTATATCATTAGGAGGATATTTACAATTGAGGAATGATGGCCATCGAATACGCATCAAACAGATACAAATCGAACAGGTGAGTTCAGGTTGCCACGACTGGTCATGGCAGCTAATCGTAACGGGACTAGGATACGGGGAAATCCACATTCGATCCTCGACTTCGCACTTCCCTCATCGATCTCAACAGAGCCGGCACAGGCCTCATGGAAATTGTCTCCGAGCCAGATTTACGGTGAGTCTGCAGCCCCCATGGCTGAAGCCGGCCATCCATCTCAAGGTCTCAGTTCACCGGAACAGGCTGGAGACTACATCAAGACGTTGCAAGCGACATTGCGAGCCGTAGGATCAAGTGACGGTAATATGGAGCAGGTGAATTCATCCCTTTGCCGCTGTAGACCACACCCCTGATCAATAGGCAGGGATCTCTTCGGTGCGATGTCAATGTATCAGTAAATAGGGCCGGAGATGCCCCCGGAACTCGTTGCGAGATCAAAAACCTCAACAGCATCAAATTTGCCCAGATAGCCATTGGTGGGCCTCCGATAGCATACTTCGCGCCGTTGTTTATCTGACAACGGACCTTCTAGTATCTGAAGTGTATAGGCATATCTCTCTCATCGAGAATGGTCAGAAGGTTCAACAGGAGACGCGCGGCTTCGACGAAGCCAGGGCAGAGACGTACTCGCTGCGCAGCAAAGAAGATGCTCCGGACTACCGATACATGCCAGATCCCAATTTGCCACCCATTGTCCTCGACCAAACTTACATCGAGGACGTCCGCACCAGCATGCCTGAGCTGCCCGAAGCTACTCGTGCTAGACTCTTAGCTCGCGGTCTCAGTGACCGGGACGTGCAAGTGCTCATGGCAGTCGACGCAGGCCGGGAAGTGGGCTTCGATGGCAAGTTGGGACAAGGAGCTATCGCGTTTTTCGATCGCGTAGCCGACGGACGAGATCCGAAGATCGTCGTGAACTGGTATGTCTGCTCCGTTGAGCTCGACCTCACTCCTCTAGTGTGACTCACGATTGCGACCCAAAGGGTTACACACGAGTTGCTCGGACAACTCCTAGCGCGGGGCTGGAGTTTCCATCAGAACCCCATGTCTGCCGAACACATGGGCGAGTTCGTTGACATGGTGCAGCAGGGCCGCATCACGGGTATTTTCTGTCCCTCCTTCTCGCCACGCTACATGATCGCTGATCCTCTTACCCAGGGACCGCTGCCAAGGCGCTTCTTCGACATATGCTCGATCACTCATCGGCGGCGGCACCACTTGAGGTAGCCCAACAGCTGTCCCTTTTATCGCTGGCGGATGACACCGGCTCATTGGAGCAATGGTGCAAGGAAGCGATAGATTCCATGCTGCGAGAGGCGGAGGAAGCGCGTCAGGGCGATTCCAGGGTTCTGAACAAGTTCATGGGTCGTGTAATGAAGATTAGTCGCGGAAGGGCTGACGCCAAAGGCGCGCGCGCGATGTTGCAGAAATTGCTCAGTCGCTGAGCTGGCTATATGAACTCGTCTATAGAATCGTCGGCCGTCGTTGCTCATATCGTACGTCTATGCCTAGATTCTACACCTCGTCTCGAGCAAGAACTCTCAACGGCAAGCGCCGACACCTCAGGCAGTCACCTTGTTTGCAAGCCAATCATTCCACTCCTTCTCGCCCCATGAGCTCGAGACCTCATTGGCCAGCACGCCATCCCAGACCGCGGAAGGAGAGACATGAATGCCATTCTGACGGCTCACTTTGACTGCATAAAGAGTAGCACGCATCCTCAGAAAACGCGTAGGATGAATGACGACGGCGGCGGCGCAACTCACCGGTGTACTTGAGGTCGTCGGTGACGCCTGTGCCTCCGTTCGGCGTCGTCTTGAGCTTCAGCAGCCCGGCGAAATCGCCTGCTGCACTGGACCCGATCACCTCACTCGCGAGCGCGGCGAGCTTCTCGCGAATCTGAAGGGGTGTCAGAGTGGAGGCGGGGATATCAAAGTATTCCTCCTGGCGCTTGAAGAGCTGTAGCTTCTGGTCAGTACCGTTGGACGAGGTCTGGCAAACATGGAGACTCGTACCGCGAGCGAGAAGGGCCAGAAGTTATGGGGAGAAACCCGTGCGACCTGCGATACATACAGAACGTCAACAACGTTATGAAGTGTGGACAAGGCCAACTTCACTACTCACCGCGAGACCGGCTTCATGCACAAACGTGGAGGTGGCGTGCCATGGCTGCACCTGGGGCCGGAAGATGACCTTGACCTTGCCGTCGTACTTGCCTCCTATCTCGAAGAGGGGCTTCAACACGCCGTCGATAACACGGGAGATCTTGGCGCTGCAGATAGTCGTTTTCCGTTCCAGATAGCGGTAGTCTCGTGAGCGGATCCTGGCCTTATCTCTCTAAAGACGTCTGATCTCACCTGAAGGGACAGACATAATCCACTGAGGGGCGAGGCCGCAAGATACGGTGCTCAGTTTCTGTTCTGGAACGGAACTCTGACGGCGAATCAGAGACGTACGATAGAATTCGAGAGTGTGCGGTGCCTCTTGTTTGCCGATGATGATCAAGGGACGAAGGGAGGGTTGCAGGGCCATTCTTCTACGCTGATAACAAGTGGGTATGGAGGCAACAAATTCGGGCGGGAGGGCAGCTACGCGTCTACCGCAGATAGCTTATATTCAGGACCGAAGAACATGTCATTCGCAGTGACGCCATATCAATCCATCATGCTGCAAGGCTATCAGCTCAGAATTGCAGTATGGGGATCACAGCGAGAACGTGCACTGTATCCGCGCTTCTCGTTTCTCTTCTAACTTCAGACCTGAATTCATCTTGCATCCTGGATTTCACGCCCCCTCGAGCCGGACGGCCATCGCTTTTGGAGACCGCTGAGAGGTCGATGATATAGACGATGCTCACCAAGCCAGTGCGATTCTGCGATGGCGCAATGCTGACCCTCGCTCAAATATTCCAAGCAGCGTGCCGGCCTCAACGATCTTTGCACCCCTAGTTGACCCCCTCTCCATCCCTAATCCTCGAATTCGCGATGAGTTCGACGACTATCGACGATCTGCCAAAGCCCTTGGTTGTACCTCTCTCGCAAGAGCAACTGGATAGGATCAATGCTTTCCTCACCCCCCTCACCCCACAGGAGATCCTGCAATGGGCTCTCGAGTACCTCCCGAACCTCTATCAAACGACCGCGTTTGGATTGACCGGTCTGGCCGCTACGGACATGCTCGCGAAGCTGACGCCCCATCCGCCGCCCCTGATCTTCATCGATACCCTATACCACTTCCAGGAGACGTACGAGCTCGTGGAGGAGGTGCGAGAACGGTACAAGTCCGTGATACACATCTACAAACCGGAAGGCTGCGAGACCGTGAAGGACTTCGAGGCCAAGTACAGCGAGCGGTTATGGGAAACGGACGAAGATACCTACGACTTCGTCGTGAAGGTGCGCACATGACCCCCCCCCCCTTCTTTTGGCCGACGAGATCGTAGCTCAGACGCTGGCGCAGGTGGAGCCCGCGAGGCGTGCGTACGAAGAACTGAATGTGCGATCCGTTATCACGGGTCGGCGGGCCTCGCAGGGGGGAAGCCGGGCCTCGCTGAGACCGCTGGAGGTGGACGAGACCGGTCTGGTCAAGCTTAATCCGCTGTTCGCGTGGAACTTTGAGCTGGTCGAGTGGTACATCAACGAGAACAAGGTGCCGCGGAATAAGCTGCTCTCCCAGGGCTACAAGAGCATCGGGGACTGGCACAGCACGGCCAAGTCGGGGGCTGGGGACGCGGGGGAGCGTGCGGGGCGGTGGGCGGGCAAGGCGGAGAAGACGGAGTGCGGGCTGCACAAGGACTACTTTGCGATGAAGGCAGCGGCGAGGAAGGTGCGTGGCACGGCGTGTGTGGGGTGCGCGACGGGGCTGACGACGACGGGCAGGCGGAGAGGGAGGCGAACATTACTGGAGGCGAGGCACGGGAAGCGGCGTAGCGGGTTGTTTTACGTTGTTGTTCTGGCACGGCTTGTATTGTGCTCGATTTGGGGAATAGATTACCAAATGCGTGATCGGCGGTCTCTGCGCGCGGCCACCACCATCGACCGCAGACGCAGACGCAGACGATGTTAGGACCGTGGGTGCTTCCCCGGGCCGTGCGGGGGACCCTGACATCTGTGAGAGGCCCATCGAGCGTTTATAGACTCGGCCAACATCGCATGCGCTACACCACTCCTTCGCTGTCGCCCGAGGATCCTCCCAACGCTGATCCCCAGCGCCCTTCATCGCGCCCGTTGGAGCACGACCCAGCCCCAGCCCCAGCCCCCCTCGATCCCTCACCTCCCCCGAGTACCAGTACCAGCACCAACTGGGCACCGACCGCCGCCGATTTCGCCATGCTCGTCGCTCTCAGGTCCGTCACGCTCCCCGTCAATCGTCTCTGCCAAACGCGGGTGCCCACTTGAACTTTCCATCAGGCCAGACTTTGGTCCCGCGGGACTCCCGCCTCTGCCGATCATACACAACGCCGAGCTGCGCCAGCAGGCGCTCACTCACCGCAGCTACGCCTCCCGGCCGGCCCACGTCTTCGAAGATCGCCTGGACGACCCGAGTCCAGACAATGAGATGCTCGAACATCTCGGGGACACCGTGCTCAATCTCGTCGTCACCCAAATGCTCCGCGAAATGTACCCCTGCCTTCGGGTTGGCCCCGCGACGGTGCGTGCGACGGACGAGACACCCCATTGGGATCCGTTGACGAACCGCTCCCAGAAACTGCGTGCACTTCTTGTCGGGAACGCCACCTTGGCCTCGCTGTGGGTGCTCACAACACTGAATTTCGCGGCCGAGATCTAATCTCGGGGGTTATTACGGCAGAACGATGCAATACCGGATCCAGGACAGACTGATTCTGCATCCTGCTCAGGCTATTACGTTGCGAGCGTCGCCCAAGATTCAAGGTGAGATCCGCATCGTGTTCCAAACGTCTGCTCATGTCAATCTACTCAGCGGACGTCTTCGAGGCGAGTGACCCTTTGCAAAGCCCAGGCTGCGTTGGCGCCTCCTGTGATACGGCACGCCTATTCTTCTGCGCCATCTCATAGGGGACGCCGATATCATAGCCTGGATGCGCTTCCGTGCGATGTCCTAACATCTTTCCCCAGAGCTACGTTGGCGCACTATACACCGACCAGGGACTGGAAGTCGTCAGAGCCTGGATTTACCCGCTGCTCGAGCCGTACGCCATCGAAGGCTACAGCATCGTCCGCGCCCAGCACGGCCTCCCGCCTCTCGAGCCCGCGATCAGGCCTACCGTGACGGCCTCCTCGACGTCGTCATCATCGATGACCTCTCCGGCGCTCACCCCGCCGTCCACGCCCCAAAAGCCCGCCCACACGAGCGGGTATATCACCCCGCCCTCGCCGCGACAGGCGGAGGGCGGCTACCTCCCGCTCTTCAACCAGCACATGGCACAGCAGGATAAAAACATCGAGTGGGTGTTCACGACGGCCAGCACGACGGCGGAGCCGGGCGCGACTCGCGGGAACCCGATCCGGATCGACGTGAAGGCCGTACGGCGGACCGCAAAGACGACGCCGGTATGGCACGTCAAGGCGATGCTCGACGGCAAGTGCATCGGGCGCGGCAGGGGGCAGACGAAGAAGGCGGCGAAAAACGACGCCGCGAAGCGGGCTCTGATCGAGATGAACGTCGATTTCGTGCGTATTCCTCCCACATCTGTTTCGTCACTTCGAGCCCGTGTTTGACCGACGATGGGGTGCAGTCCGAACCGACACCCGTGAATGATGACTGGTCGATGACATAGCATTCGCTCCTGCTCGGACGTGAAGGTCTTGGTTGATATGGTATGGCTTACTATGGATACATCGTAATGGTGATAGGTGATAGGTGTATTTATACTGTGCTAACGCAATCTTTAATGATCGATTCACCCGCCCAAGCGTAGAGTTAGACCACTCACAAGTGACGGATCAACGCCCTCCTATTCGCCCAATGCTGTCCACAGGAGGTGCCCCCCAGACCAGGGTCTTCGACGCCGGGTCGAGAGCGGCAGGATAATGCCGTTGGAGGAGGGCTGCTAGCACGCCTCTAGGCACAGCCGTAGTTTTCGGTGCGGGTGACGCAGCTTCTTGCGTTGCAAGGGGCGTAGGCCCGACAGAAGGTGTCGGCGCGGTGGTGTCCGCCGCTGCTGTGCCGGAGGTTCCAGACGAGCTGCTCGCGTCGGGGTTTGCGGGTATTGCACCGAGCGCCTTGGCCTCTTCATCGATATCGTCGAAGACGTCTTGCTTCACGGCGTTGATAGCGTATGCGTAGACACCTGCGACGAACGCGGTGATCACTAAACCGGTGACCACGTTCCGGAACAGAAAGGGTCGTCGGGCACGCTGGAGCCCCGGGGACATGACCTGACAGGGTTTGGTGGACCGGTCATTGGCTACGGAGGACGACTTCTTACATAGCTTTTGGGTCTGTATGACCGCTTCACGGTCTGTGGCGATATGTAGCCTCCCATGGCGGTAGCGGCTGAACAGGCGAAAGACCCGCGCGCTCAACCGAGTCCGCACTGCCACTGGAATAGGAGGAGGACGATACACCGCGCGGAACCTCGTGGCTCTTCCAATAACTGCAGACAGGCGCACATATCGTGCGATATATATTTATATATATGTGTGTATACGCTGGCTCTAATTGCCAATCGTCGGATGATAATGAACGAAATATAAACATACAGAACACGCCCGTCTAATCGCCGAGCGTGGTTACATGCTGAGATTGTGATAGCCCTTAGTGCCATATATAATGTAAGTCCAGCATCATGCCTTGAGAAAACCGAAGTTAAAACCAGGATCCAATAAAAAGTTTTAAGTCTTTCGCGACGCAGTAGTAAGCGGCGTATACACGTATTGCATGTAGACTGCCGGGATTGATGCCCAAATATCACAAAGTCATCTGACGAAGACGTTGTTCAGCTCAGCACCGCACACGAAAGGCATGCAGCCCACCTCCCGGATGAACGTGAGCATATGGCATGTGAGATACCCGCTGGCGAAGCCAGCTTCCGCCGAAGGGAAGAGGTACAGCCATTTACGCTTGAAGGCTTCGAACAGCTTGCGATCCGTCTTGAACGCAGGATGTTGCTCCATGATCTCTTCCTCGATCTCAGGAACGAAACGCAAGAAGCGGCGATTCCATTCCCTCAACGTGCGCGCGTAGTCTAGGAGAAGTCAGTCACAGCACCATCTCAGAGAGCGCTCAGTGAACCGACGTTGGCCATGATTCTCAATTTCGTCCAGCTGCAAGCGACCTTTCGATCCCGCGTTCGCAGCCTGCACGAGCGCGGTGGCGCTGGGCAATGTCCCATTCGGCCACATGTAGTAACGGCTGAAGTCGGGGGTCCTACGAACGTCGCGATCAGAATATGCTTCCTCTTCTGCAGAGAAGCATTCGTACTGATAGGTAGTGTACTTTGCTTCTGAGCACGTGGAAGAGGTGATGACCGCTGCTGCGTTCTTCGACTTCAAAGCCCAGTCTATCAGAGAGAAGTATTTTTCATAGTGGGTCGGCCCCACGTGCTGTTGCGAATGTCAATACGTCAACACACATCACCTTCCATGATAGCAACGAGGCATACCTCAATCATCTCGACGCTCACGAACGCATCGAAGGCTTTTTCGAAAGATGGTGGAAGTTGACGATAGTCAAGGAGGTGAACGTGTATGGAGTCTTCCAAGCCAGCGGCGCGGATACGTTCTTCTCCCAGTTTCTTCTGCTCGACGGAGAGTGTGAGGGTATCCACGGTGCACCCAAGCCACTGAACGGCCTATCACAGCGTTCAAATCAGCCACAGCTCGCGTAACGCTGATGAAGGTGCTTACCTCAATAGCTAATCCACACCAACCAGATCCGAATTCGAGTACGCGGTCGCCACGCTTCACTCGTGCCTTGGTCAGCACATGCCGTATCTTCCGTTTCTGGGCGGCTTCAAGCTCTAACAGATCACGCTCGCTCTGCAGATCGCCATTCAATCCCCCTTCCGCATCGGTCCACAATGCGCAGGAGTACCTGAAGAGAATGAGCGCAAGCAAGACACGCCTCGAGACTCAATAGCTTACATCATTTCTTTGCTGAGGAAAGCCTACAACAATGATTAGATTTGTCTCAATGGCGACCGGATCTGAAGCTACCTGGAACATGGCGTTCGAGCCATCATAACCAGCCACTGCGTTCAGCTTGGCACGAGATACCGACTGTCCGAAGAGAGCGCTGGTGTACTTGTAACCAAGGGCGAAAGCCTGGAAGAAGACGGTTGATAGCCCTTCGAGTCTCGACGCATTGTTGATCCAGATCTGTGCGGAGTTGATGAACATAAAATGAAGGCAAGGAAGTAGGGCATACATCACAGATCGCGCGCAGATCATCTGTTTCGAATTCACCGAGCATGTAAGACTCTGCGACTACGGGGATCATGTCAGTCCCACATTCTCGATCAACCCAGGGAAACGTGCTGACAGCCTAAGTCGCTCGAACTAAGAGATGACAGCTAAGCATCAACGGCAGGGACCGAGTGAGATCTAGACGTACGTGAAGATACGCCACCAGACGGTATCGTTTTTCACGACTATCCGGGCAGGGCGCTTGGTCTCCTGAATCTTGCCGAGGACGACCACCGAGTCGCCTTCGATGATCTCGAGTGCGCCAACCTCGACTCCCTGGCCAAGCACAGATAGTAGGTATTCGCGGGCTATACACCCAAGGATCGGTCAGAAGGGGGCAACGTTGAGTGTGCATTGCTGCCACGCACCGAAGGCAGTGCCGCGTCCACGCAGGGAGAGGGAGGGTATCGAGGACTTGACGAGAGGTTGCATGATTGAGGGCTGCAGTTCGCAGGGAAAGGCAGAGTGGGGAGACCCACCCGACCGGCCCTCGTTTATACCTCCCGCTGATCCAGAGACAGGTCATTTTGATTCAGCTCGTCTCAACAACGTGAGCATTTCAGAGGGATATCGTGCGCAGTGGCCCCCGGCCCCTTCCGGGAAGATTTCGGCATGTCTGATAATATAATATTGGGATGAGCCAATTATATTTAGCGAATCGCCGCGAGCTTGCGAGCTTCGAAGGCCCAACAGAACTGACGCAACGTTGCAGTGGCGACGTTCCAAGGGAAGGATACGGCATGTCCGCATAAATCTACAGCGGCGTTACCCGAGGGTCGTTCGGTTTGCAGATCGGTTGCCAAGAATCCCGCGTGGACGCTGTATGAGTCTGTTGCACCGAGTCCTGCGTATCCACGTGTGATACAATGTCGAAGCTTGGGATATCCAGGCTCGCCGCCACGAAGCAGAAGGCAAACATCAATGATATCAAAGGCACTGCTTTCCCGCGGCAAATCTGAAATCATTGTCGGTGCCTTTCGTCCACGTGCGCAACGTCGATGGAAACTCGGGTTCGCGAGGAGCGAGCTCGTCTCGAATCTCAGACGTCTGGAATCCAGATCACTCATATGTCCTCGTTATTGTGCTGTGATATGAGCTCCTGGTGACTCAAATAACGGCTCAGCGTTCGTTTCACGTCTAAATTCGACCCTGAACAAAGTCGCTTGCGCATAACGCACGGCCACGGGCGACAATTTCCACAGGAATATGCCAATGCGGAGTCACCTGAGTGCCGAGCCGCTGTGGATGAGTCGCCGTGCCTCCACTGGTCTAAGATGTATTGCCAAAATCACGCTCGTTCGGGTAAAGCGTTAGCGAGGATAGCCATCTTTCATTGGAATCATTGCTGTAACACGAGGCGCAGCGGTGGTGACGCGCGCAAGACCCTGGGGTCAGCAGGAGGCAAACAACGTAAGGAATCCCAGCTCGGAACGACTGGCGTGCGGCAGTAAAGTAGAGAGTATCGTGTTAGAGACGGTAGGCAGCACGCTAACGTACGCGTACGTAAACACAACGTCGCATCCTGGGCCTCACTCGCGTATTTAGCTTCCAATGGGCATCCAAGCCCGCCAGCCTCATCTATTGCTTTGATTTGTCGGCGCAAACGGTGGCCCGAGTAGCGTTCATGCCTCAACCATCACAATCGGTCAGGGTCGTGGTGAGGTTGCCGTACGACCGACCGGAAGAGGCGGTTCAAGACCCTCCCACAGTGAGTTTGGCAGATCTCTCTCGGTGCATGGGTTTCATCCCCTCGTCAAGCTCAGGTTGAATGGAACACAGAGAAGGAGAATATACTTTGGGAGGTGATTGCGCGCTCGAGGGGCCCGGATAGCGGGGTCACTGACTGCAAGTACCTCATCCCGTCTGCGTTGCTGGTAGGCTAAGGTTGCTCTCCAGGGAAGGGGCTGGCGGCTCATCTACAAGTACCGTTGCCTTATCTGTTGTTCAGAGCTCAGACGCGATATGAAGAGGATTTACGGGGACTACAAGGCATTCGCGGCGCTCTGCAACCGCTCGGTGTTCAGGCCGCAAAGCAAGTGGAGGAGTTCCCTGCCATCACTGAACGACCGAACTTTCTCCGCAAGGACTCGTACAAAGCGGGCAGCCCCGTTAAACTGACCGGTTCGACACGGAACAATACTCCTCTCAGTGTACGGGCGCGCTTGAACTCGCTTAACGCTCAGTCTCAGCCGCGACCGAAGAAGGCGACCTCGTCCTCAGCAATCACCGTCAAGGGAACGATCCCTCGGCGAGCTAATCCCACGCTTCGCGCAACGTCTCCCTCTACCTCTGGCTCGGGCTCCTCGGACGAATCAGAGTCGGAGGCCGTGAAGGCGGAGGAAGCGGAAAGGGCGGCGGAGCATGATACGACGCTAGAGCGGAAACTTAGGGATTTAGAAAGGATGATGACGAACGAAACGCTGGGGCTCGTGCAGTCCTCGCAATTCAGGACCAAGGACAACCCAGTCGATCGTGGCAGAACTAGCCTATCAAGCTCTGCGAAGCTCCCTCATTCAGATGGGTTTCGTACGAATCCTAACATTCCACATGAACCAGCACGGAGCGAAAGCCTCTCCAGCACCGACTCTCCTCGAGGTTCGATCCCAATGATACCTTCGCCTCCCTCGGAGTCGCAGCGTTCCTCGCCAGTCAATATACATCCTCGTATATCCCCTGGGAAGCCGTCCAGTCCCCCCGCGGTTTCCCCTCGTAGCGCTCGTAGCGTCCGCCATCACGCTCTCATACGAGCGAGTACGAGCGAACAGGGCAGCACCCATGGTTCTTCAGCATCCAGCTTTAGCGACATCAGCGGTTAGTCCATCTGAACTAGGCTAGCCGCTCTCTGTGCTCATGGTGCCTCAGACATGAGTTTATCATCCAGTGCACTAGGAAGCGAGATTCAGTCCAACATGCGCACTGGCTCACGAATGTATGTCCGCGTCGCATCTCTCGCGCCGTTGGAGGCTAACTGAGGCCCTTCAAGGTCTGCATTGCCCAGAAGTCGTTTCTCCAGTCGAGCTGGCGGAAGCTAAAGTAGTCGGTGTCTAATCAAGTGACCGTGTCTAGCCTTCGACCGACACTCGCGTTTTGTGCAGATTTACGCAGCAGGTGACTGCGTAGTTCTGATTTCGTGATCTTCCAACGTTCCCGCATATTCTGTACGTTACTGGAACGAATCAATCGTGGTGGTGACGCGTCGCGTTTGTTATGATGACCACTCTGTGTTTGCGCATCTGTGCCGGGCTGTAAGCTGGAAGAGGTGCATGTGAGAACGAAACCATTCACGCCACTCACCTTCTCGACACCCCTCTGCATCGGCCTCGACTACAACATGCTCCTTACTTTTGTGAACGATCTTGGCCAATCTTTCGTCGTGGAGATTGACCCAGACATGGAACTCGAGAATGTGATGGCCCTCCTGGAAGCTGAGGTATATAGCCCCAGCCTCGCTACGACCGCTCTTTACATAGCTTTTGGCCAGTCAGGTATACCGGTGACCGAACAGAGCATTCACTTCGAGGGTCGCGATCTCCGTGAGGTCAAGTCGACGATGCGGCAGCTCGGCGTAGGCAACGATTCCGTGCTGTTACTTCGAAGGAAGGTGGCTGTAGCGGGGAGGTATGCGTCTCATATTCCATAGCAGGAGAGCAATACTGAGTTATTGTCTCGATTGAAGGGCGATGGAGCACGACAGCGAGATGATGCGGCTTCAGCTGCTAGGCAATCCTGAAGCGATGCGTCAATTAGAGCAGGCGCGTGCACCCTCGCTCAGCTGTCATCCTCTTACTGACTTGCGCACGCACACCTAGGTGCAACCGGAGCTGGCAGCTGCTGCGCGCAGTGACGGAGCTCGCTTCGGCGAGCTCCTTCGTCAGACCGCCGCGAGGCAGGCCGAGGCAACAAGGGCTCAAGAACGGGAAATTGCGGCCTTAGAGGCTAATCCTTTTGACGTGGAGGCCCAGAGGAAGATCGAGGAGCATATACGCCAACAGGCCGTCATTGAAAACATGGAACATGCTCTGGAGTACTCGCCCGAAAGCTTCGGTCGGGTAACTATGCTTTAGTAAGCCCCATATTCATTCATGGTGTGCGCACCTTTTGAATGTGCGCATCGCAGCATCGATGTCGAAGTAAACGGGCATCCCGTCAAAGCATTTGTGGATAGCGGGGCTCAGCAGACCATCAGTGAGATATCTCATCAGTCAAGGTCTCGCTATTTCTGACGGTGCGCAGTCAGCCCTGAATGCGCAGAAGCCTGCGGGTACGAGCACTTGTTAATGTCGTGCGTCTGAACTTAACAGCTATCATGCAGAATTATGCGACTCCTTGACCGTCGTTTCGCTGGTATGGCGAGAGGTGTCGGCACCGCGAAGATATTGGGACGTGTGCACAGCGCGCCGCTGAAAGTTGCTGATCTCAATCTTCCGTGTTCGTTTACTATTATGGAGGTGATTTGCCTCCAGCTCTCGTCCGTCGGAATTGGACCCTTACTTTCCCTCAGGGCCGCGAGGTCGACCTTCTCTTTGGGTTGGATATGCTGAAAGCACATCAAGCTTGTATCGACCTCGAGAAGAACTGCTTACGTATCCGCGGCCGCGAAGTGCGGTTTCTGGCAGAGCACGAACTACCAGATAAGGCCAAGGGCCTAGAGGTGACAGAGGATCCGCCTACCTCGGCCCCATCTCTAGGTGGTGGTCCGTCAGGTACTTCCCCGCCTTTCCCTGGCGCGGGTAACGCCCTCGGTAGCGTTCCTGCGGCTGGACCATCAAGAATAGCGTCGACGCCCCAAGCTGGATCGCGCCATCCTGAGTCCGCTATCTCCACCCTCATGAGTTTAGGCGCGACGAGAGAACAAGCTATCAGTTCATTAGATGCTGTAAGTACACACGTGAATCGTTGCACTGTGTCTGCTGACATGCGAGTAGGCCGGTGGAAATCTTGATGTGGCAGCTTCCCTGCTGTTTTGACAGGCTCGGGATCGTGCGTTCTCTCTTGGAAAAACGATGTTTACAATGTAGCGATACAACATGGGACAAGTAACTAAATGTACAGATTATAGTGCAACAACGCATAGATCCATGCAAAAACCGGTGTCCGTTTAGATAAGACTGACTCTAGTCCGTATGAGACCCCCTCGCCAGTTCGTCATACCTGCAGAGCGATGATGTGCCCAGTCGTTCTGCATACGAGCGAATGCATCCTGAATATGTTCTGGCTGTAGAGGCGTGCGTGCTTCCGGAGGAGGTAAGAATAAGGAGCACGATGGAAGTGTGTATTCAGCATCGTCATCGTCATCCCTCCGACGCTTGCTGGCGGACTCGATCGCGCCTGATGCAAGCTTTCGCTTCCCTAATACTGGTGTCGGCGCGTGATTTTCACGCAGATACGACTCTTCGAGGGACTTCTTGACCTCTAGCCCAGCTATTGTTAGAGAGCGGACCATTTCGAAAGCGAGGAAGCCAACGATATCGATTGTATCATCACCGGCTTTCAGATCAAGGTGGGGCGGCAAATTGAGAAACTCCCGAAATCGTTTCGCTGGTATACCGAGTGAGAACTAGCCAACAATCAGCACAGGTTATGTGGTCTAAGGCTGACCTTTGCGATATGTGAAAGAAGCTTGTCGACAGTCCGAGTAGTGTTGATATTCCTCTCTGGTCATCTGCTTGGTGGCATCATCCGCTTCCTATCACCGAATTGAGGTCCGTCATCTCAAATCAGCACGGAACATACCTTCAAACGCTGAATGGAGGCTTCGTGTGCTTCGATGTCGTCCTCATCCTCTTCATCGTCTTCCGGTAGTACCTCCGAATACATGGTAGCAAGCTCCCACGGTAACTTGATGGTGATCTTTTGCGCTTTGGCGGTGAGCTTGTCTGTGGTCATTCATGTGAGCCTGGGCACACAATGAACAGTAAACGTGCATGTTTACCGTCTGCCCCATCCTCCAATACTTCGACTTCCACCCCGCCACCAGCGTCACCACCAGAGTCTTTCGCGTGTTTGCGAACATCTTTCCATGATAGATACGTTCTAAGCCGATTGACCTTTGCACGGTCGTGTCTTATAAGGAAGATAAGGTCCTCTGCGGTAAGGTAACGGGCACCACGACGGACAGCCAAAGCGCGAGCTTGCACAACCTACGAGGATTGAGCGCCAAGCGGGTAATTCTGAGCGCGAAGATTCGGGCTTACAAGTTCTATGATCTGACCACGGACGATATCCTCCACCAGATTGACGGTGTCGATATTTGGGTCTTGTACCTCCCCAAACACGAACATCTGAGGTGTATTTGAGTACACGAAGATAGGCTTTCTGAGTATGTTGCAAGATAACCATTTGTGATATCTCTTGCGTATACTTATATTCCCTTATGCCGTTGTCCAGCGTCATCGTAGCTCGTTTGCCCGCCATGGTGAACACGGGCTTCAAGTTCGGACTCCTCGGAGTCGGAGGGAAGGGGCAGAGTGACAGCGGCTGCACGTGATCGCGAGCTGGAGTGCGATGGACCTAGTGTTACGTGCCGGTTCTGCCGAAGGCTGAGACCGAGAACTTCTTTCCTTTTCTAGCATCCGGCGCTGATGCGCCTTTTGACTGTTTGATCCTTTTACTCCACTTCCATATGCTCAAGGGCTCGCGACGAGGTATAAAAGACAAGCAGCTTCGTCGCGAGGACCTTTACCTTTTGGTTTCGTATCTTACCTCGAGTTGCTCAATCGAGACGTGAACTCTCTCTTGTTGTGCCGCTCGAGAACCTTACCGTGTGAACGCACCTTAGCCTTATTCGGCTTTGCCCGCGTCACATATTTTTGAGAGTGTTTCGTGAGTAATCCGTTATCGCTCGTCGTCGCTAACCCCTCTTCGATAGGACACTATCCGGCTTGATCACCCGGGTACACCTTTGCTGAGGACACAGTGATTGCGAGCACTCCTAGCTACGTGTTCTATTTCTTTATCCCTACACGCTGAGTATGCCTGTGTCTAGGGATGAGCTCACGGGTCGCTGGACTCGTAATGACCGTAGGGTCGGCGGACTAGACAGAGTCCCCCGACCCGAGTCGGATATCAACATCAACGCGGGCGAGGCGGTTGCCTCTGACCCCGTTGACTCATCTCCGTTGGCGGGCGAGACTGGAGCTACGCACCGCGGAGATGCCCCGATGGCCGGCGATCATACAGGATCGAGCCTCGGGGCCGTTATAACTCAAGGTTTGCTGCCCGCTTACCTTGATGCTCCCGCGCATCGCGAAGGATCGCGGTTGGTGAGCACGACAGGGCTGGTGCTCAAGGACGAGCCACGCAGCCCGTCTCCGTTTGTCATTGGTGGATTCGGTGGGGCGTCGAGCGACGACACTGGGTCGTGGTCTAGAGTACCTCGTAGACGTCGGAGTGCGTCTCCCGTACTGTCCAAGCGTAGCGTGATAAGCAATAATAATAGCTTCGCGTCGCTGACTAGTTTACATGACACGTCTCTCGTCGACCAGGAGGATGGCGACGAAATGGTAAGCTCTCCGGTCGTGCTCGAAGAGCCTCGTACGCCGAAGAAGCCTAACAGCAAGCAGCTGGCCTCTGAGAATAGAACGATGAGTGACGCAGAGTTCGATGCGTTGCTAGAGACGCCTACCCCGGTGGATAAGGGTAAAACTACCGAGCGAAAGGGGGCGAGTAACGTTCAAAGCAAGGACACGCCTCCCTCTGGTAACCCCGGCAAGGACGCCACGACAGAGTTGAGGTACGCCGGCATTGGTGAAGAAGAACTTGACGTCGGAG